TTAATTATGTACTTCAATGCATTTTAATATTTATGATTTAACTTTTACTTTTATATTTTCAGTTTCAACTTAAATTAAGAGCTTTTTAACAATTTTATTCATTTTTTATGAACCTTTAATTTATATTTATTTAAACATTTATTTTGACTCATTTTAGTACTTGAACTTGAGCTTCTTTATTTAGTTAGTTTCCAAGGCAACTTTTTTTTAATTTTTGTTTTCATTTAATATTCCATGACATTATTTTTAATAGTTTTAATTATCAATAAAAGCACTGGCTTAATGTTGATTTTATCTATATATCTATAGATTAAATCAACATTGGTTAATTAACTCAGGCAAAAGAAGGGTATAATATAGCAGACAGACCTCTGGGGTAGTTTTGTTTAAGATGTCGCTTCCCTCTATCACTTTTTTCATCACTTCATCCTTCAGCTGAGCATACTCTTCCTCAGTCAGTTGAATGGATTCCAGTGATGCCTTGCAAGTTTTGCACTCTCCACTAAAACACAAGTTATATCCACACCAATACTCTATTAAGAATAGTCTTTATGATAATTGTATTTAAATAAAACTGAAAAATTAGTACCTGGGGGCGACGCATGAGAACTTCCCACTCCATTTCTGATCTGGTAAACTGTGCAGAAAAAAATAAATACAAATAAAACAGTTAAAATAAAGATCTACAATAATGGAAAGAAAAACATATACACATTATAATAATTATTATAACTAATATATAATATTAGTGCAGTCAAATGAAGTAATCGCGATTAATCGCCTGTAACACAAGTTTGTAAATATATAATGTGTGTATATATATATATATATATATTTGTGTGAGTGTATACATACACTATATATATATATATATATATTAACGAACTCATTTTTTAAAAACTTTTGCTAAATCGATTAATCGCGATTAATCACATCTAATATAATATTTAATATACACACACATATATATATTTGTGTTTATGCAATATGCATACATATATGGGTGTACACACACAAAATAATACATTTAAATCTAATATATATTTACACACATATTTAACCAAAAACGTTTGTTAGATGCGATTAATCACGATTCATTAATTTGACAGCACTAATAAATATATATATATATATAATTTTTTTTATTTTTTTTTATTTACCTCTCAAACCAAGCTTTGATAGTTTTAATCAGCAGCACCTCTGGGTAGATCTGATTATCTCTCATATATGACAGGACAGAAAAGAGTTTGTCCTCCTGTCCACGCTGAGTGATGCCACTCTGAAACAGGCACTGCCAGGTGCTCTGATGAGATTCAATACCCTGTTCCAAAAGCTCGTCATACAGTTTCCAGCCCGTCTCAATGTCTCCATGAAGTACTGCCCAGTGATGGCATCACCATAGTTCCGAGCAGACGGCAGGAGGGCCTTTTTCAGACCCTCCAATAAGCCAAGCGCCTCCCTCCAACGTTCAGTTTGACTGAAACCTTTAATAAACAGGGACGAGGCTCCAGTTTCAAGGGTCTTAAAGCAAGTTCTCATGATGTCGTAAGTGTCAAATACCTCAGAGTGGTGCCCAGCGGTGACACACAGCGTTAGATACCTCAAAAGGAGTTCGTAAGAAAGGGTGCCTTTGTCCTGAACCACATACGCCAAGAGAGATTTGGCGATGTTGACATCTGCATTAGCCGAAAGCAGTCTTTCCATCATTTGCATCTCGAAGCGCTCAGATTTGGAGGAACCCTCTTTGAGTTTTTGCCCATTCTGATGTGGTCAGCGGATGGTCAGGAAGGGCAACTTTTAGATATCCTCTGCCGCTCGCAGGTGTATTATTTGACAGCTCTTCTGTATCAATCCCAGCCCGCTTTTTCATATATTCAGCAGTTTTTTTGGCTGTTCCAGCTGCGAATACTGACTTTGGGAATGCAGGCCTTGTTCTGGGAGTGAATCCTTTTTCTTTGGTAACTTGGCTGTATAATTCTGCTTGTTTGTCTCCTTTTGTGCTGTAAAGTTGTGTGTTTGGATTTATGATAAACCTGACAGCAAGCATGTTATGTTGTGGTAAACCAGCCAATGCAGGCCTTAAATACAGAGGGTTAACAACCCATGTGCATAGATGCTTCATGCAAGTTCTTGAATTTGACACAAGAGGTCCCATTTCCTAACAAGTCTTCTACTCAGACTATGCACTACTTTAATGGTTATGTATGTAAATGTCCCACCACAAACAAATGTGCAACATTAAGTTTTACTTATCAACACATATACAAAACACATTAACTTTTTTAATAATTATATTTACCTAAAATTAATATTTGTAAAAAAAAAATATTCAGCAACTTATCTGTTAAATAAATGTCCTTCTGTATTTAAAGGACACAATAAAATATTGAAATCCTCAGATAGACAAACTCGCTAAGATATCGTATTATTTTCATTTAAACGCAATTAAGTCGAAGCAATCATCGGTATTTTAAACAAGAACATCAAACTTACAGAATCTAGACGAGGGTTTTTGAATTCTAACAAGAAAGCAAGTTCATGCCAGTGCGAGCAGGCAGCCATTCACTCTCATGTGTTTGTGTTGTCGCACTTCAATTACGTCACTCGTGCGTGCGCCTTCTGCTCTGAGATGTAAACAGCAACCTCATAGCCTACTCGAACATTACAGTTTTGATTAATAATCATTTTTGAGCTGGTTAGTTTAAAACATATTCGGACCGAGTAAAGATAAGAATGGCAAACGACAAAATCGCACGTTGGAGAGATTTACTGCGAAAAAGACTCGCCTCTATGAAACAAGGTGAGATTATGATTTTAGCTAACTTAATCAGTAACTAGAAATTTATTGTAAGTTCAAAGAGATCATATTTATATATTAATTTTTATATAGAAATCTCCCAATCAATGAGTGTATCCATGTAAGGATTAAAAGTCGCTTGTGAAATAGTTAACGTAGCTTTACTTAAATAACGCCATGCTAGTATATTTGATGAACATTTTGTAGGTTTTAGACTAACGTTAGCAGCTATACTAAATATTATTTTAAGGAACTGACTTCATGTATGATGTAGTCGCCAATTAGTTACAACAATTACTATAGTTTGTTGTATAGAAACCATAGTTACATAGGATAAATGAAAACCGCCTAATATGATTATATTACCATATGTAATTATAAAACACTGTAGTAAAAACTTTTGTGTTACTCAAAAGTTTAGTATGTTGTTGTTATCCAAATTACAACATAAATAACATGGACATCCAAATGTATTACAAAGTAAGAATCACCCTGGTAATAATGGGCAGCAGTGTTGGTTAAAGTAATTAATTACTACTTAGTTACTAATTACATATTCTACAATGTATTTAGATTACTATACTAATTACTCTATCTAAAAGGTATTGGTTTACTTGTTGCTAATTACTTTATAAATCCCATATTAACCTCGACCAGTTGACAGAACAATACAAAGATAGACACTAAACTGCAATAAACAGAATACAATTGGATAAATTGAACTGACATGTTACATTAAAACATAAATGTTAATGCTAAATCCACTTTTTATACATATATATTTTTTGTTGTCTAAACAGTATTTAATGCAATTACATCAGACGTAACTCATTAAATGACAGAAAAATGAAGAGTAATACCTTTCAAGAGTAATACCTTTTCAAGGGAAAAGTAATACAATTACAGTAATTAGATTACTTAGTAATTAGTTACACCCAACAATGGTAATGAGGAGCCATCCATGGTTTTGCTCATGGTTACTAATTTTACTATGAAACTAAGCTGGACATAAATATTCATGTTTAAACCCTAATTAAATACAGATGAGGATTGTACAGTATGAATAATCATAATGTGTGGGTTAATTGTATTGAACAGATGGCAAAACAGTGGAGGAGAAGAAAGCAGAGGAAACTGAACTGTTCACCAAGTATTACACTGAATGGAAAGGAGGCGAGAAAGCAGAAGTTGACTCATTTAAACAAATCCCACGCTTCTACTACAGGGTGGGTTGTTCTAGGTTTAATCAGTAATGAGAATACAATGTTGTCAGTGGTTGTGGTATATCATATTAAAAATATTACAATTATATCCATGTGTCATAGTCTGACCTATCATAACAATGATAAATGTCTTGTCTTGAAGATATTAATTCGAGGGTCACTACTGCCTGAATCTGGCATAAAGTGCTTCACTTTTTCATATTGTTCATCAGCTCACATTACCGTTCAATGTCTTTACTGATCAATTTAATGTATTTTTGCTCAATATGAGTAGTAATTTCTTTAAAGTGCCCCTGTAGTCAATAATTGTATCCCTTAAAACTCATCTTTGATCACCAAAATGACATATTTAAAAGTTTTATCCGTAAACCATTTTTTTTCATGCCTTAAAATAGCATGAATGTAGCTCTACACCGTTGCCTCATTTAATATATACGCGGTTCTATGAATATGCAAGTTAACCCTGCCTCCGCGCACTCACACCAGTTTAGAGATCCACTTGTTGATGATCACAGGTTATTGTGATTGCACATGGTAGTTTGTGACGTCAGAACCACCAGTGATTTCAAACCGCGGTTTTGAGACTGTCTTTGTTTCACTGCAGCTTTAAATGGGGTTGACTTATGAATTTCCTCATGGTTTGTCTTAAAGCACATTAAAAACACCACATAAACATATAAAATAACATTAAAAACTTGATTTTCACCACAGGGGGACTTTAAAACAATCTTACTGACCCCAAACTGTAGTGTGCTACCTTCTTAATCTTAACTTCATAATATTTCACCTCAGCTTCCTGCAGAAGATGAAGTCTTGCTGCAGAAACTCAGAGAAGAATCGAGGGCAGTGTTTCTCCAGAGGAAAAGCCGGGAACTATTGGACAATGAAGAGTTACAAGTAAGCATTGTGTTGGTTCCGTGTCCCAAGCGAAACATTCATAATCAGCTTTTGTTTAGTTATTAAATATGTCTGTGTTTTCTATTTCCTTTTCTAAATGTTTTTTTTTTTCTTTCCTACAGAACCTTTGGTTTCTTCTCGATAAGCATCAAGTGCCGCCCACGACCGGTGACGAGGCCATGATCAGTTATGAGAGTTTCCTAAAGGTTGGAGAACAAGCAGGCGCCAAATGCAAGTAAGTGTGTCATTGAAAAGTGTACAGTGACCAATTAGTATCACTTGAAAACCATGAGTTTATGAGCTGATAACTGTATTCTAACTCAATGTAATTCGTAGGTGGATAAAGCTTATGACTCACTGAGATATTTGTTTCACAATAATTACACCCCCATCAGGCTTTTCTTCACTGCCAGAGTCTACGCCAAGCTACTTCATAATGATCCGTATGGGAGGATATCAATTATGCAGTTCTTCAACTATGTCATGAGAAAAGGTAGTTATACTATAAATTCTGTGGTGTGTGTTAATTGCATTCTCGTCTGAAGACGGCAGAGTCTTTTAGATCTTTTATTTGATTCTGAACACTATAAAACAGATGTGTAAATGAATCACGGTTTCTTCTCTGGCAGTGTGGCTGCACCAAACCAGGATTGGTTTGAGTCTCTATGATGTTGCAGGTCAGGGTTATCTTCGTGAGTCTGTAAGTAATCTCGTTTTACCCTCTACAATGCAAGTATTCACAATATCTTCTTAGAAGTTAAGCTGTTTTGTTTTAAAGTAAAGACTTCAGTTTGTGACTGTTTCTTTCTGCAGGATTTGGAGAACTACATCCTAGAGTTAATTCCCACACTCCCCCAACTAGATGGCCTGGAGAAATCTTTCTACTCGTTTTATGTTTGCACTGCCGTTCGCAAGTTCTTCTTCTTCCTTGATCCTCTACACACTGGTAATTCTCCTGTGGTCATGCTGTTTTTAAACATTCTGACTTTGCCTTTAAATTGAAGTCAGAGCACCTGCAGTCATCATTCAGATTTCACCCTGTGGAAAAAAACTGGAATGAAACGAATCGTTCTAATATTTTGTATATGCTCTGCAGGAAAGATTAAAATTCAGGACATCCTGGCTTGCAGTTTCTTGGATGACCTACTTGAGGTAGCGAACAGATTCTCACTCAAGTTAACCTACAGTATATTATACAGTATACAATAGACCTGCAACATTAAGCTAATCAGATTTATTCATTTATAGCTTCGAGACGAGGAACTATCAAAGGAGAGTCAGGAGTCCAACTGGTTCTCTGCACCTTCTGCTCTTCGTGTTTATGGTATGCTTGCAAAATCAGTGTTAATCAGTGTTATAATATAATGTAAGTTATAAGCAGTGTTGGGTGTAACTAATTACTAAGTAATTAGTTACTGTAATGTAATTACTTTTCCCTTGAAAATGTAAAGGGATTACTCTTCATTTATCTGTAATTTAATTACAGTTACTTTAGTTCTGATGTAATTGAGGTAAATACTGTGTATAGATCAATCCGATCTCACAGCGATTCGTATGCATTTTATGAGGTGTCTAAATTGTACGACCACACTCGTACAAATTCATATATATGAATTATTGTAAAATATGTATGAAAAAAAGTGTGAAATGTCATGTGATCAGACATAAAACAATAGTGGGTTTAACATCCAAATGTATTGTCTGATGTTAAAAAGTATATTTTTATAATGTGACCTTCTCCACCTTCAAGCAATTTTATGGTATTTATTTGGAAGAGTTCAAACAGATTCATGTCTATCCTTGTATTATTCAGCTGGTTGAGATTGATATGGGATTTTGAAAGTAATTAGTAATTAAAAGTAATTAAATACTTTTTAGAGAGAGTAATTAGTACAGTAATCTAATTACACTGTTGAAAAGGTAATTAGTAACTAGTAATTAATTACATTTTTAGAGTAACTTACCCAACACTGGTTATGCTAATCATCATTTTTCCCATTTACAGGACAGTACCTTAATCTGGATAAGGACCATAATGGGATGCTCAGTAAGGAAGAACTGTCTCGCTATGGCACCGGAACTCTAACTAGTGTTTTTCTAGACCGTGTCTACCAGGAATGCTTAACCTACGACGGTGAAATGGTATAACCTTTTGACTTAATTAATAATTTGCATCACAGCAAGAGTGTCCCTAAGACAAATGTCTGCTGTCAGAGTCACAGCTTGCGGCACAGTAGTGCTTCGGGATACATGGTTTTTGAAAGAAGTCTGTTATGCACACCAAGTATGCTTTTAAATACAGTACAAAAAATAGTATTGTGAAATATTATTACAATTTAACATAACATTTTTAAATTATTTTAATATATTTCAAATGTTTTTTATTCCTGTGATGGCAAAGCTGAATTTTCAGCATCATTACTCCAGTCTTCAGTGACACATGATCCTTTAGAAATCATTCTCATATGCTGATTTTCTGCTCAAGAAACATTTCTGTTTATTATCAATATTGAAAAGTTTGTGCCGCTTAACATTGTTGTGGAAACCGTGATTCATTTCTTTTAAAAGAATCTTAATAAGACCACTGAGAATAGGCACTTCATTTTTATTATCTGACATAAACATTTTCAGTTTCTGAAAACATAAACATGCATTTCTGTCGTTTTAATTTAGGACTATAAGACCTATCTAGACTTTGTGCTGGCTCTGGAAAACAGGAAAGAGCCTGCAGCCCTTCAGTATATTTTCAAACTGCTAGACATGGAAAACAAAGGCTATCTCAACGTATTCACCCTCAACTACTTCTTCAGGGTAAGTAGAGGTGTTGGTTAGCTTTTTTTTTTTGTTTTATTTTATATATATATATAGATAAAAGAAGTAGAAACTAACCTACTCATCTTTGATATCAGGCTATTCAGGAACAAATGAAAATACATGGGCAGGAGCCAGTTTCCTTCCAGGATGTTAAGGTAAACTGCCTTAAGCTCTTCCTTTTCTATTTCACGTTGCTATATGATGACAATAATGTATTATAATTCACTTTTTTGTCTGTTGTCTACAGGATGAAATCTTTGATATGGTGAAGCCCAAAGATCCGTGTAAGATCACATTACAGGACTTGGTGAACAGTGGTCAGGGTGATACCGTCACTAGTATCCTCATCGACCTCAATGGCTTCTGGACTTACGAGAACAGAGAGGTGCTGGTGGCTAATGACACTGACAGCAACACAGCCGATTTAGACGATACATGAAATCCCTCTGTATAGCCTAGTCAAGTTTTGCTATGGGACCCTAACCTTCAGCCAAGAGGAATACACAGAATAGCTCAGTTGTATATAGAATTGTTTATTAAGTAATGTTATGTACAAAACAAACTGTATTTTTTCACCTACATTATAGAAAGGTAGGTGTATTTTCACCTACATAATACAAAATTATTATACACAAATAAATTAAACAGTCTTCAAAATGAAAAGCATTTGTTTGTGTAAGGGGGGTAGAGAAATTGAATTCAAAAATCATGGGTAAAGCACAGATTTATAGCACACACAAAAAGCGTGTTCGCATAGTAAATAATATTTAGTACGAAAAATAGCTGTTTGAAAGAGAGGGTCTACCCATCTGACCATTTACACTACCTTACACAACTCATCAGTAACATAGAAATTTCTAATATTACAACTAATGTCTCAGCATCTTCAGAAATATTCAATCCATGCAGTTTTGAATGTGTTTGGCAGACTTCTTAGGGGTTTATCATTATTAAAACGTACAATGAATTGTTGTAGTGACTAAAAGAGGTTTTATGTATGGCTTTATAAAATGATTGCTAAAATAGTTCTGTGTTCAAAGCAGAAACATTGTCAGCTATGCACAAACAACATGTTACCTTCATGTTCAAATGATAAACTTTACTCCCCCAAAAAGGAAACCAGCACACCTTTTGCTTACGGTAAATATGGTAAAACCATCAAATATTTCCACAGAACAATATTTTAGGAGGGAATGGGTGCAGGCACTTTATTTGCATCAGGTGTAGCATGTGATTCCTGCTCCAGTTCAAAGGTCACATTCACAAAAGAAGCAGTTGTTTCTGGTTGCTCAGTCTTTGGCTGCTGGCCCTCCTGGTTGTTCTGTTCGTCAAAACGACGTTCTGCCTCCTCAGAGAGATGGTTTTCCTCCTCTTCTTCTTCCTCCTGCATATTGCACGTTATTAGTGTCTCACAAGGCCAAAGCTGTTCAAATACCTAAAGAGTATCTGTACATCCTACTTTTGAGAATATCAGCAGATAAAAGAAGGCTGAACAAATAGTAATACTGGTGCACATACCTCCTTCTTCATCCTGTAGTACTCATCAATTGCATACTGATATTTTGGTGTTGTGATTCCCAGCAATGAGGCCATTCTCTCTCCAAGATAGTCACAAACTGAAATATTTGGGTTAAAATGTTACATTTTAACCATTTTCATAGAACCAAATGTCACTGGAAAGAGTTTCATTACCTGAGATGGTTGAGGTAGCCACTCTCCACATTTGGAACCAGACGTACGGACCCCAGGTCAACTTTGCCTATAATCAGAGATGTGACTATAAGTTTAAGATGATAACTGAAACTACATTCATATTTGATGCTACTCACCGGATCCACAGTCCTTAAAGTGTTCTTTTTCTCCTGTTCTTCTTCCTCCTCTTCATCAGTACTGTACTCCTCCATGGTTTCACCACTTGCAAAGTAGATTGTTCTGCGAGGAATCTTTGGCTGCTTTTTGCCCAAATCTCCAAGTTCCACATTTTCAAAGTCTTTCACCACAGTTGAACTCTAAACCAGCAGATAAAGAACATTACACACTTTGATAGATAGATAGATAGATAGATAGATAGATAGATAGATAGATAGATAGATAGATAGATAGATAGATAGATAGATAGAACATTTCACATAAATAGATACATCAAATTTACATCATATTATAATATAATATATCGTTATTACTGTATTATAAATAACATTATATATTACTTGATGTCTATCAACATATCAGGTTCATAACCTCGCTAGACAACGAACAAGGAAATAGAATGACATATGTCGACTGTAGTCTATAGCAAAAGAAATAATGTAATTCCAAGGCAACTGCTTATTACATTTAAAAATGACTTTACCTTCTCTGTATCCATAGTTTGTCCAAGAGACACGTTAACGTTTGTGAGGTACAGTGACAGTTCAGCCATGTCTTCTTCAGCCTTTTCTTTCAGTTGCTTTCTTCGAGCTCTTCCTTCTAGCTGCGTCAACCAGGAAGTGACGTCACATGTAAACAATTCAATTCCATTAATTTAGAGGGATCTGTCTGTCTATTTATTCAATTTTTCGGGGGGTATTTAACGTAAAATACGTTACCGCACTGACAAATTTACATAAGACGTTAAATATAAATTAACATATACAAGTTACCAATTTATGTTAAAATATTCCCTGACTCCCGTCTGTTGAAAGTGAGATGAAGAGATCTAAGTTTCAGTGTAACGTTAGTTTCAAGTATTTAAAGTTCTCTCATTTTGTCGTTTTAGTAGTACAACCATTATGAAAAAAAAATGAAAAAAAATCTTTATCTAGCTGAGACTCTACTGAACTATTTAGGCCACACATCATAACTTCAACTGCATAAGCACACTATACTTTAATTTCATGTTCGATTTTAGGCATCACATGCCACTGATCCTTATATTCTTTCACCCTTTAATTAAAATCTTTCCTTTAATCTTTTAGTTTTTCTTTTTTTTTTCTTTATTGTGTTAATAATAACACATGAATGATAACCTATTTGATATAACTCTAAGTCAGATTAATTGTGCAAATATGAGACTTGTTTTGTTATGCGTGATTCATATTTGACTAAGATTATAATTTTGCACAAAACAATTATCAAGATAATTGAAGATAATTGAAGATTTCTCTCTCCTCGCCCGGATAAAGTGCAATGAAAAAAGAATGGCGTTCTGTTGTCTGCCGTCCCAGTAAAACTTGCCAGTAGTGTTTTTGAAATGACTAATAATTGAGAGCCCTAGTGCCACCTTTACTCAGACCTTTTTCATGTTTATTTCTGCCTTTATTTTATTATGCAGTTTTTTTCCACATTTATTCAGAAGTTTAAAGCCGGTTACTGCTACTACTATTTTTTATGATTTCATTTAGCTGTAACACAATGACAATATAAATGCACAAACATGTTGTCTTTATATCACAATTTTTATATTTCTCACATAGTGTTAAATGAGTTTTTGTACGTGGAAATAAATGCATTTGTATTATTAGGAAGGGGTCAGAGGATCATAATTAGGGAGATCAAACGATTTAGTTGTGTTTTTCACTACTAAATATCTATATATTATATATTCCTCATATTGCACATTTGATTCCAATGATAAAAGAGTCTGAGTAAATAAACAAGTAGAACCTCTTCAATTCGTAAGAACTTTAATTTATACTCTGTAATTGATGCATAGATTACTATACAAATATTGACATATAGAAATTGTCTCTATCATTTCTGATTTTTCTTTTGTTATTTTTGTTATTCTGATTTCAGCCTATTTTTTCTTTTGTGTATTCTGATGACATTAAACATATTGTTAATGCATTTTGTTTATTGTATACAAAGTTGTACATCATAAACATCATCTCTGTATTTTTGCAATCAATCATAAAAACTAACTAACTAAATGCAGAACCTCAAATTACTTCTTGCGCCCTCTTTTGGCCACTCGTTGTATGGCAAAAATAAGGCATTTTCGGAAGAAACCACTGTATCCACCAAATTGACTAAAAGTGCGACACAAGAAAAACACATTTAAATGAACACAAGCAGACACAAGTTTGTCTAATAATATGTGTGCTTCAATATAATACATTCCAAGCTCATTTTCGCCCAGTACGCACATATTATCGTCTGACAATTTTCCAACCGCCCTATAGGAAAACGAAAGTGGACTGATCCAGTAGTATTGAAAGCAAAGCTCATCGCGCAGTTGTTTGTGTTTTCACTCAGCGCAGTAACGGAGAGGGGAGGCAAGGCACGGAGTTTGTGTAACGGTTTTTCGCTTTTAATCTTCATTGCATCTCTCCAGCCTTCTGCCATGGCTCTGTGCAGTAGCGTCGGAGCCTTGGCGTTACCCAGCGAGCTCATTGTCCACATATTTTCCTTCCTGTCAGACCGAGACAAGCTCCGGGCCTCGGCCGTGTGCTCTCGCTGGAGGGAGTGTCTCTTCTACCCTGCGCTGTGGACGGAGCTCAAGCTGCGCGTCGGTGGAGGAACCAACGGCGGCGGCTCTGGGTCAGAACAAACCCCGCGATTAGAGTTCCTCATGCGCAAGTTCGGCTCATTCGTGCGGGAGCTGCAGCTGGAGTTTGCCCCGGTGGACGGATACTTGAGCCCGCTGCAGCGCGGAATGGAAGCCGTCGAGTGCGACCCGCAGTTCGCGAAAGATGCGATGGTGACATATTTGGATCAGGTGTTGTGTGTGCTCGGCAGTCTGCGTAATAACAGGTAGCTATATGGATTTGGGCTCGATTTGCAAGCATTGACAATACAAATCCTTTCTGTCTGCTTTGCTTACATTTCATCAGCAGCCATAAACAAACCCTGCGCATTACGTAACGCTCATGTCTGAAGCATCGCATGGCTGCCTGCTTCGTGCATTAGCAAACTGCGATCACTTCTATGACAAGCACAACTAACGTTAACTACTATCTATTTTTGTAGCTTGGAATTTGTATCTCTAATAATACTTTATATGCAATCCAAAAGCGTTTCTCCGTATTACTAGTGAGGGGATGCTATTGCCTGTTACTAACAAATTGCATTTTTTGGCTATTGAGTTCTATGAGCATCTGTATTTCAGATATCAATCTTAAGATATTTTCTCTTTTTCAATTAGTCTTTTACATTGTTGCTGGTACTTATTTCTGTTTAACTTCTAATAACGTCAAATATCTATTGCAGCACTAGTACTTTAGTTGATACTAGTACATAATTTTTAGACATCTCACTTGTTACTAGTGACTTTTTATCTGCTTATAATTGCTCATTTGTCACATGTAATTAGTTTGAATGACTATAGTTACATTAAACGTCTGAGTAATAAAAACTAATTACATTAAAAATGTTTCTACGGATGGATAGATAGATAAAGATGGATGGATGGAGATTAGTGTCTGTTCAGTTGCTATGTAGGTAAGCTAGCCTATAGTATAGTACCTAATGATTATTAGTAAAACTGTTATAGAATTAATAGAGCAACTTGGATACATTCTAATATAATCCATTCCACACATTCTTAATTAAAAAAATTGGGATTAGTAACAAAGTGAACTTGTATATAATGAATATTTGCTAGTGAAATTGAAAAACATCCTGAACACTATTGGATTACTGGGGCAAAATAAGCATTTGTAACACAAGCAATAGATACTAGTTGGTTCTAAGGAGTAAAACTGCTGGCTAAACTCCCACAGGCCTCACTGCATTGTTAACATTCTAACAGAATCTTACAAAACAATGTTTAAACAACACAGGCTTTGTTTTTCCTGCTCTTCATAGATGTTTCCTGAACCTGCAATTCAGTTTATTTACAATAGAAAAGCACTAGAAGGACACATAGCCCAGAACTTGCCATGTAAACTATAGGCTTTAGTTTGAAATGTGTGAAGAACAGAAAAAAAAAAGAGCTGATTATAGCTTGTTTGGTGAAGCGAGAGACTTTGATTATTGGTTTGAAAATAAATGCATTTTCCAAATTACTTGTATCATGCTTTTATTTATTTACTTATTTTTGGCAGTCATTTAATGGGGTTAATTTGACTTATATACACTTATCAAATAGGAAAATAATTCAAGTCCCATACTATATCCTGTTTACATTGGCAAGACATAAAGCTGAAAATTCCTCTTTTTTTACCCTCCAGAAATCTCCAGAAGCTGAGTCTCTACGGGGACACATGCATTCTTCAGGATGACGGGATTCTGGACAGCTCTTTTCTCAGCCAGGTCGACCAAGGGGGCAAGAAGATGAAAGAGTATGTTTTAAAACGTCCTTTTACTCTGATTACATGCTGGCTTTGCAAATCTGACCATCTTGTTAGTTGTAGGTAATCAGTCAGTCAGAATAGTAGCGTACTGCACAGTGTACTGTTCACTGTCTGCTATTTAAAGGGGTCATGAACTGCATTTCATTAAAACAAAAATGTTATCTGAGGTACATGGAAAAAAAATATCCTAATTTAGAAGTAATAAGCTATTTTCTCTCCTGTTTTTTGTTGTTTTTGACCCTCTTTTTCAAACATGCTGTTTTGATGGGCGTGCTGCGTTCAGGACTTGGAAGTAAACGCCCACTGCTATGATTGGGTAACAGTATTGCATTTTAAAATAATTTTCATTGTCCCCAGCATTACACGTCTGGAATTGTTTTGTAAACTTCCGATGTTGAAAAATCTCTTTACATGAATTGTTGAAACATGCCAACAATGTGAAACATTTATATGTATTAATTATGCTTAAACTTTATTTGCCAAAAGCAAGACTTAAAGTACGGCGTTACAGTTGACAGGATACCTTACGGTGTTTTGAATGAATTTGCAATTGTTCGTTGTCCTTCTTATAAGCTATTTATCGTTCATCGATTTCGTTAATGTGATAAACGTATACATTGTCATTTGCAGCGTCGTGTTTTAAATAAAATTAAGTGTGTTGTAATGTCTCACTATTGACAAAAAAGATGTCGCTCACTGAAGCTTTTATTAAGGATTACTGCGAATGTCTTCAAATAAAACAATAACAAAAGCAGCATTTTTTTCCCCATGTCCGGTAATCCAATGCGTTAATGACGAAGCAAAGGAAAGAACAATCAACTATTTCCAGTTTTTCTGCGGCACTACGGTATAAATACTCAATATTTAATATAAATACTCAGTATATATCCATCTATCTGTAACAAGCAAAGCAATAGTGACACATGATAAAACACTTTTACCCCCCCTTGTATGTTGTGACACTACTGTCGGATCTAATGTAGTCTTCTCTGCATCATCTTATTTTCAGTCTCTCTGAAAAGCCTGCACTGAAAGCCTTCAAAGCTTTTTTTTTTCATTCAACTTGCCACCTCAAAATGTCTTGTAATCCTCAGAGGCATCTCTATGGTTTTGTTGCTGGAGTAATCCTGTGTTTACTTCTCTCTTGTTTTTACTACTACATGACACGCTGGGGCTATCGAGGCAATTAATGTAGAAGTAGGCGTTGATCTTCTGCAGAGACGGTCTTTCGTCGCACTATTACTTTATAATGTGACAATGTAGAATGAATTGTTTCTGCAGCTTGGTTTCAATAAATGCTGTTTTTGGATTGAGGAAGTTTTGAGTTCTGAGACTTCCGTGATATTTTTTATGCTACAATGACCTCTAATGTCAAAATATCAAGGAAAATTAGATTTCTCAATTCATGACCTTTTTAAAATAGTATGAATGGAAATGTAAAAAAAAATGTGTTTGATGCATAACCTTTCTACATTGTATGTTTAATTCAGAGAGTGTTTAGTTTTCTGACACTAGTGAGTAACACAAATTGCACACTTCACGTTTAATTGGACTACCAATGAAAAGTTTGGGAAAGTCTGTAAGATTTATTTTCACAAGTCCGCAATGGTCACCAATGCTGCATTTATTTGATTAAAATACTGTGAAATATTATTACAATTTAAAATAGCTATTTTCTTATATCCCTGTGATGGCAAAAGCAGAATTTTGTCGCATGATCCTTCAGAAATCATTCTAATGGTGCTCTAGAAACATTTCTTATTAGTGTTATTACCAATGTGGTGCTTACAAGTTTAGAAGTGCTGCTTAATATTATTTTTTTCTCCAGGATACATTGCTGAAAATTTTTTGAAAGGACAGCATTTTTTTTTTTTTTTTCTGATCAATTTAATGCATCATTACTGAATCTTTATTATTATTAATAACCTGTAAATGGTTGTGAATGTTTTCGTCAAATTGTGCTGCCTTTGAATCGATCCTCCTTTAAAAAATGATGATTTCTAACCATGTATATAAACTGTTGTAGGATCCAGCTGCTCTTTGAAGAGATCCTGTCCAACAGCAGGCAGATGAAGTGGTTGTCATCTGCGTTCATGCTCTGTGTGGTGACCCCTTGCTCTCTGGCCTCTCTCTCCAACGCCAGCACCAGCTCCCTCGAGCACCTCAGTCTGATCGACAACCAGCTGCCCAGCCTGATTTCCACAGTGGAACTGGAAAGGCTCGCTCACCTGCGGTCTCTGTCGCTAGACTTCTGCGACTTCACCTCGGACATGTGCCGCCTCCTGGCCTGCGGTGACCGAGCGCCCCTCCACCGCCTGTCTCTCCTTCTCAATGGCGCCGCTTTGGATGTCAAGCCTTTGGGTGGCACCGCCGCCGAGGAGGACTGGAAAGCCCTGGTCCGTCGCAGCACGAACCTGCGTGTCTACGTCATGGCGATGGATGTGTGCAGCCAGGACCTTCTGCGTGTGCTGAAGCCCAGCGTGCCCCTGGAGCGCATCCACCTGGACAGCTACAGCACTCTGGTGACGGATGGGGTCGTGGAGCTCATCTCGCAGCAGTACCACAGAACCCTCAGCCACTTCATCTTGATGAGGGACGACGCCGGATTCCCAGACCTCAGCGTCAACCGCAATGAGGACCCGCTGGTTCTCCTCGCCTGGCGCTGTGTGCACCTCGCTGTCTTGATCATCCATGGTAAGTGGACATTTTTAAACTTTTTCACTTGCCTTTGACAATCCACTGATTCCTTAATATTTGGGAAGTCATTTGTCTTTAATCTTTTTATATATATATATATATATATATATATATAATTTTTTAAAACCCTTCCAAAGCATTAACAAAAAGCCTAATGACATTCCATCTAAATGAACTCTTAAAATATAATAATAAAAAGCATTATAATCATAAATAATACATAGAATTTCATATGCATATACACATTTATAGATGATTATCAAGAAAATTCCATAAAATATATTTATTTAAGTAAAATTAGATATGACAGGTGATTTATTTAATGTGTAATCTGTTACGGCTATATTTCTAAAATAATTTATTATGTGGCATTTTTATATTTCTATTTAATAACCTGTCTAGATCTGCGCCCCCCCAAATTTTCTATAATATATGTCAGCTTCATAACATCAATGTTTTTAGATGATTTCCCCCCTCTTAAATGGGTAACATTAGCAGCCAACAATAGCAGTAAAACAAAATGGCTCCTGGATTTAAAGTGTGCTATGCAACACTGTTGGCCATCAACTATGTCAGATTTTCTGTTTGAATGTGGTGACAGTTCAATATATGCAGCTAAAGATCATTTTTGATTCTAGAAATCATGCTCGATGTATTCATTCATTAATCTAAAAACTAGATTTGCAGTGTTAATAATAAATATTTGACATGGGAATGTTGTTTTTGAATGTTGAAAATGATTTTTGCTGCTTGTTCAAATCATTTAAGTATTAAAATGAATCGCTATAAATTTTTGTCTAACTTAATTTCATTTGTGTTCAATCAACTTCAATATATTTAAAATTGAAGTTTGCTTAATCCATTTGTGTTGGGAATACATGAATGATTTTTGTTGGATTAACTAAAATTGCGTGGAGGATGTTTAGTTCCCAGCATACTTTTGCTTATGGCTGGATCAGTAAATGTTGAAATGAAGTGTTATTTTATGTGTTTTTGAGTGAAGGGAAAGACCTGTTAAAGTTTAATGTTCTGTTATGTTGAAGTTTTTATGGTTTCCATTGTGCTGAAGATTAGAGCTTATGATGAGTTGTGATGGCTGTATGTACAAAGATTATGATGCATGATTCATTGAGCAAAAGCTCTGCTAATGCCTGTGCAGTAACAAGTATCTTTCTACTTGTTCTGTGCTAGTTGCAGACAGTCTTTTAATAGTACAACATAACTGAATGCCAAATATAAATGGGTCTTTCTTTTCCATTTACTCAAAATCACAGACTTCACAGACTCTACTACTCAATATATTTAAATTGAAATAACTCTAAACTTCAAAAATTCAAAAGTGTAAATTCAAAAAGCCATTTTTTTTAACCGAGTAATCAAATAATTCCTTTGGTTTTCCGTTTTACCATGCACAAGTCATTTTTCTTGCTTTGCAGGCTACACCGTGTGGTCCCACAACCTCGTGGCCATCTCTCGCCTGCGTGGGTCCAACCTCAAAGTCCTGGAGGTGTCCGAAGAGAGCATCGACTTTGACCCGGACCAGTCGGTGTACATCGAGGGAGATCCCGTCCACAATCTAGTCAAGGAGGTGTCCCTGGGCCTGGGCCGCGTCTGGCATCCCTCAATGGACAACAGCATGGTCCTGAACGAGCCCACTCAGCACTTCCACCGTGAGATGCAGAGTTTCAGCGCGGGCATGTAGACTCGCCAAACGCCCTCTCTAACCCTGTGCTTGGTGATCTTTCACTCAATGGGCCCTTCTCATTTTACATATTGTTTTATTTCTTTCCTTTCTTTTTGATTTGTTTTTGTTTTTTCTTGTAGTGTGAATTTAATCCTTTATATGTGCTGTGTTTAATCAGTATTAGCTCTATATTTATATCTATATCTATATATCCTGCTTATTACTAGGAAAGTATAGTTGGGTATTGGTTTAGTAGCTAATTGAGTGAATGGTAGAGATGGACTTTTATACAGCTAGCTTAAAAGTTGTACAGTGAGCTGTTCATTCTCTCGCTTTGTCTGTTTGTTGGTTTCCCCTTAGAAAGTGTGGAGTTACCTCAAACTATCAGTTGATCCTTCTTGGCTTCTGCAACGACGAAATCCCATGTTCACGTTGACCTTTTTATAGGGAGATTAGTCTTCCAGCCAAGGGACACGGCTGATCCACAATTACAAACCTTCCTCTTTGTTTTACATCACTATGTAATTGTTATTCAGAAACGAGGATTGGTGGAAACAACGTGTTCGGGACGCAGATCCCGCTGGTTTTTCTCAACCTGCAAGTAGACGCACCTCTGCTGGTGAAACCAATCGTAGAGGTTTTCAGTCTGGTGTATAACACCTGCATGCTGACCGCCCTGCAGCACAATATCTGGGCCCAGCCATAGGTGTTTTGTTCTTTTCTTTTTTTCCTACGTGTGTTTTCGTTGCAAGTCCTTCCCGTCTGTCTCAGGTAGGCAAGAATTATATGACCAGGAAGACGAAGAGGATGGTTATGATATTTTGGTAAGAGTGATAACAATCAGTTGATAATAGTTCTTCTCGAGTCACAGTTGCCTTGAACTCCCCCTTTCTTCTTCATAATTAATGTGTTTTTGGCCTCGGACTCGGTCCGTTCAGCGTTAACGTCGCCGCAATTCCCCAACCGAAGTGCGAAATCCTCATCGAATCGTTGTCGAGGGCGAACGCGCTCCGAACGGATTGAATCCGGGCCGTGGTATTTCATCTGTAAAACATAAGATGGCGGGAGACAGACGTTTGCTTGTTCCATATCTCAGGATTCCTGCACTTGCGGTACTTTTCCAGAAAGCTTTTGTTGAAGCTTCGTTCAAATGGTTGGTGTGCTCGACGGGCAAGATTTTGTAGTGTTTTTTGGAGGAAAGAGAGCTCTTCCAAAAGAATGCGCTTTAGAAGTCGCTGGTTTTTATTTTTTCTACCTGTTTAATTTCCCTAGCTTAGCATTTGAAGGTCTGTGTGTTTTTTGCTTTTACATATATCGTCTATTCGCTCCTTTATTTTAAAATCAGTCGAGGGAGATCGTGGTTGCTTGTAAAGCTGAAATAAGTGAATGTCAAACTAAAGCCTTCTTGAAAGCGGCAGCGTTTTTCGCTCTGCAGAATCCCCCTCTTTCCTGAGCATATCTTTATTTTCTCGTGCTCTAACAACGAAGCGAATCGTCGAAGAGTGGAGTACTTTTTAAAACCGTAAAGTTGCCTCGCTAACTGTTACTCTGTCAGGCCTCAGAACTTCCTGTTATTTGGCGGTATCAACTACCCAAGCCAAACCAGGTTTGAAATGGAAGCCATCGCCCAAATCTTCCTGGAAGATCCGCGCTTATGACAAAAACAAACAGCCAAAGCAAACCTTCGCAGCGTGAAAACGATCTTTATATGCAAGCTTATCAAGTGAGCGGTGACCTAGATCTTGTCAGGATTTGTAATGTGTGTGGTCCAAAAAAGATTTGAAGCAGTTAACCAATGAGGTCGAACCACTCTTGGCACACGAAGGCCTGTTCGTAGGGTTGATTTAAAGAGATCCAGCTTGACTAATTGTTGACAAGTTTACAACCTATTGTGGTACCCATGTCGACATTGGTGAAAACGGCAGCTTTCCGTGGTTGGTGGCACAGAACGCAAAAAGGGTCTTGTGAAAAGTCATTTGTGGATTACAATCTGTTCAATTCGCTCCCTTTTTGAACAAACCACGGATTAAATATGTTGTTTTCAGGTGCGTTGACATAGGTGCCAAAAACATTCTGTAATGATTATGTTGGAATGCTCTTAAACGTATGCTAGTAGTGGGAATCTGTGTGTGTTTTTTTTTTTTTTAAGTTTATTTCGAAAAAGTTCTTAGTACAGCACCAAAAAAAACGATTTCAATAAGTGTGAGCTTGTTTGTTGTACATCGATTTTTGCCGAAGGACTTTAGTTGGCGGAGAATGACGGCGGATGACGCGTTACAAACTGCTAAAGCATTCATACCGTGCCTAAAACCCAGAATAGCTTTCATTTCAAACCCATGTCATTCGTACGTCCCTGGTCGACCAAGTCTACGAACCTTTACCAAGACATAGCATATTTAAAACCGCCAGTGTTTTCTTGTTTGCGTCTCGTTTCGCAATCTTTCTGTCTGCGTGTAAGTGTCGTGTAAGCGTTCAAAAAGTGCATACGTCAGAGAAGGAGGTGTGTGTTCAGTACAAAAACGTACCACTTCCTCGGCAGTGAACAGGAAACAGCCATTCTCAGGGTTACTGTTAGACGTGTGGAGGAAACAAACAAGAGTCCAATAGCTCAGGCCTCTCACCATGAAAGTTTCCATTAATGAAGAATCTTCTCAACAAAGTCACTGGATTTAACTTCTGTCAGCGCATCATCTGCGCCAGCTGCCAAAGATAACGGTGATACGACTCTTTTATTTTTTTGCCCACATGCTGGCAGAGGGCAGGGCCAATGGCTGATGGGCCGAGATGTGCTACTACTATCGTATTATGACAACTACTATTAGATAAATGTACTAACGGAGGGAGGGGAGGTCGGACTTGGGCGGTGGTCCACAGCTGTGCTGTGGCTTTGGTCAACATACGTTAGATCTCTCTTAAAATGCACCTGTTTCACTGTGAAGAGTGAATGTAATTTAACTATTGAAAATCAAGGTTGGTTCTATCAGACCTATAAGCTGCTATGAGACGTGTTAGGAACATTCCACTGGGGAGTTAAAAACAAATTAAAATGGCCAAATGTCTGCATGAAATGATGATTTTTTTTTATTATTATTATTCTTTTCTGTTTAGTTTAGGGCAGGGGCGGGATCCTGGAATCAGCGTTCGACTGGTCCTACGATGAAATTCTTGAGCCATTTGAGAGCGCGCGTAGGTTTTTATTCATGATCGATTCGACCAGTCGGTTGTTACAACTCAGTTGGATCCCAGTGTTTGTTTTGTTTGCGTTTTTACTTTCACAAACGTTATATGCATTTCACAATCTCGTAGTAAAGAGAAAGAGGGCTGCTATGACCCCATCTGAGACGGTCAGTGTTTTACAGCTTTTTCCCGATACTGATTATAAACCTCACGCCAGCCTTTGGTAAAACAAACCGTTACCATGTTTCCACTGCAGGTCAGATCTCGAGCTCGACGCGGGCCTCTCTTTCTCTCTCTGGTTGGCTTGCGTTAACGGCGAAGTCACAAACTATGCAAACGGAATGCATACGATCCAATGGCTCTTAACTTAGTTTTTATTTTGCGCTTTTCTTTTTCTCCTTCTGTCACTCAAATGGAAATAACCTAACTTGCAATGATACTTGGCCTTATTATTGTTGTTATTATTATTATTATTATTGTTTTAAGATCTTGATTCTTCGGAAGCCAACTCAGTTTCAAGGGCGACCGTGGGTTACAGACATGGTCTCTATGAGACTGGCCAGAAGGCCCCAGTTATAAGTGGTACGAATGTTGTGCATTTGTATAAAATCAGGACAGTTTGCAATAAAGAATTGGCCATCTTGGGACACCAGCAGTGCTAAGACCACACTGCTAACTTATAAACTTAATGGGGAGTTAAAAAAGATAACATAAACCTGCATATGCGTATATATACCAACGTATATACTTTTATGCAACACATGTCCGGGTTCTATTTATGAACATTGAATAAAAAGTTTATAAGTGTCGTTGTTTTGCAAAAATGGTTTTACCATCTTAAATGTTTAATATTTGGGCAGGTGTGTTCTGTCTACTATTTGTCTCCGGTGAGCACATAGCATTGGATTTTATATGTACATCTGCAAACAGGAAGTACTCTGGCACAGGTGTGAACATGCCAGGTGGGAAGATTTTAATGAGAAAAAGTGATCTCGAGGTTCCACGATAAACAAGAAAAACCTTTGAAAAACTTAACTGACAGATATTGGGTAAACCAGCCGAATGTTGATTTGAATTAATGTTGAACGAATGCATTTTCTTTTAATCTGTAAAATAAAAGCATACAAAAATCAATCTTGTTTCTCTGTATTCATACAGATTAATGCATTCTTTTTTTTTTTCTTAATTCTTCACAATCAGGGAGACTGAATGAAATGAATGTATAAACCTGCAAATTCTACTGGTTTAAATATTTCAGAGCCATGTTCATTATAGCAATCTCTCCAAAAGCTTATCCCAATCTGGAAATTATGGACACATGATGATATGTCAGTGTGATATTGCTTATCAGTTTCATGTTTTAATTAAGCTTACTTAAAATGTGTACTAAAACATGTTCCGATCACATTGTACTTGAGCTCAGTAAAGCACATAAAACCAAGGTGAGTGTTGTTGAGTGGCTGTAACAAAATCAAAAACTTGTTAGGTTTTTCCTAAATCACCACATTAGTTTATTCCTACAAAACAAGCATATATGATTATGGTTAGAAAGTGTAATTGTACAGCATTAAAATGCTGCAATTGTATATATTTAGGTTTTCAATTCCAAACACCGTTTATTTACATTAACTTTGTACACTTTAGTCAATCTTTACACTTAAATAAATCTTTAGCAAATCACATGTCCATTTTTCATACGGTACATTGTTGTGATAAAATCACTTCGAATATATATATATGCCAATTATCAGATATATGAAAACTATTATCAGAATGACCAGCACTTTAATACTTGTGTATTCTTTCTGGAAATCACACTTTTTAACTTCCTGGATATTTCCAAGTTCTTCATGATTGTGGGAACCATGAAGTGTTAGCTTTATATCTTAGCACAGAAAACTGAAAGTAATCCAATGACATCTTTATTATTAATGTACAAGATTTCATGAGACCATGTATTTTTTTAAGGCATGTATTGTTATTTGAGGAAACTTAAATATATATATATATATATGCTACATGGACGGTTTTCTGGACTAAGTTGTTGGATTTGTCAAGTTAGTTACCAAAGTCTGGGTTTCAACAACATCCTATTCACAATATATACTTAGTACACTTTCTATATATACAGTCTGACAAATATGAGGGCTTTTCATCAACTACCTTCAATTTAAAAACGAATCATAATAACATTACAATCCTGAGCACCTATAATCCTATAAGGCAGTCTCATTGACTTATTTTTTACACTTTACCTACAGGTTCAGAAAGGCTGCACACTTACACTGTCCCTGAAACACACACATCAACTTCCTCTTTGTAAAATAACCAGTGGTATGTGCTGTATCTTTTGCCATACTTGCTCTTTCAAAAAAGCTTCAACTAAGACAAAATAGATAACCACAAGGCTACTGTGGTTACATATCAAAGGAAACACCCCCTGAGCACAACAACAGGAAGCTGAAAACAGCAGTCTGCGGGGGAGGAAGAGAGCGCGAGATGGGAAGATCAGATGACATCATGAGGAGAGGGCGACTGGTTGGGCGGCTGCTCGCTGCCTGGTGGGGAGGGTCTGGGAGGCGGTCCAGGGGGGAAACTGTCACACAGATGTCGTGGTGGAAGATAGCCCATATGTTGAGGGAGCTGCATTGGAGCTCTGGGAAACATTCCCGGGGGAAATGGCCCTCGCACTAAAGGAAATGGTACTAAAGGTTACCAGTTTGTACCAAGACAGTCTACAAATAATTTAAAGGGGTCATAAACTGGCTCTTTAAATTTTATTATATTGTTGTCTGAGATCAACTTATGACGTTCGCTTGGTTTTTGCATTCAAAAACATCAAAATTAATAACTAATAGGCTATTTTATACCCTAGTTTTGAGCCTAGCTCAGAAACGCTTGGTTTTTAATGGGCATCTCGCACTGAAGACTTGGAAATAAACGCCCACTGCTGTGAGTGGATAACAGTTTTGCATATTATAATGAGTTTCAACTCACTCGTCGGTGCACTTGGGGGAAATTGTTTTTAAACCTCAGTTTCTCAGTTCATCACCCCTTTAAATCCAAGTAGCTGAGTCCGAAATTGTAATAAATCAAATGGCAAAAATCAAAGTCTAATAATAATGATCAATATGTCCACTGCCAAATAATCAGACTTAAAAAAAAAAAGATGCAGCCTTTTGTACACACACACACACACACACATGTTAGTTATACTGAGCTAAAAGTATAATAGTAATTTGATCGATTATAATAGTAATTATTGATCGATTTGAACTAGGACAGTGTCAAATAATAAGTAATAATAAATTACTAAAAATAATATAAGATTTACTAAACAATATTAACCTATAATAACCAACTCATCAAATCAAATCATTTATTCAATTTATTTATTTATATATTTTTTTTCAAATCTAACTTATTTCCTAATAAATACGCCTTTCATTTGCATAAAAAAAACCCCTCACATTTCAGAAGCTAAATTTGCTTTAAATGCACTTAAACTGTCTTCAATCTGGCATTTCATCAAAAATGTCCACCTACACAAGTGGAAGAAGTGAACTTACTGCCTATGGGGGGAACTCCAGGCCCACGAGGGGGAAAGAACTCCGGAGGTATATAAGGGCCCCTGTGAGGGAAACGTGGGTCCATCGGTGGAGGTATTCCCATTAACGGGGGACCAGGAGGAGGTCCCATTCTTGAATCTGGATCCGGGGGCAATCTCATGTCACCAGGCATCGTGTGAGGACCCTGTGAGAGGACACATCTCAGTTATGGCTGTGTCCAAAAACTCCATCGAGAGATATAGTACAGCGAGGTTTACTCACGTCTCTGCTCTCATTCTCACTGACAGATGAGCTGTTTCTTAAAAATGACGGATCTGAAAGAAAAAAAAAACAAAGCAGAGAGAATAGATATTTAAAATATCTGTGAGCCAAAGTCTCAAAATTACATTTTCATTTAATTCTTGGGGATTGTTGAAAAAAAGTGTTCATTCATGCTTTGATAATGCCATTACACGAGCTACATAAAAACAAGTCAGCACGGAGTTTCTGCCAATAATGGTACTCGAATTATCATGGGAATATGGAGCTCAGTTTTTTCCTATTATTTATTATCTCAGGCTTGCATATAACAGTCATATGGGCTATTTATAATTATACAGTTACAGTTGACCTTTAAGAGAAGCAGAGAAGTCAAACATATTGTAGAAGAGGTCACATGGAAACGCTCACCCGATTTGTCACCCAAGTACGGATATCTAGGAGGCAAAGGACCCATAGGATACAGACCTGGAGGAGGCCTTCTATATCCCAAACCTGGATCTGGGAGAGGGTGACCTAAACATTATAAACAGATTTAAAAAATACATTAATTTAGTTCATTAATAATATAATAATAAATATATATATAACTAAACACTACAAACCTACAAATACATTGTACATTACGGTTACACTTTATTTTAAGGTGTCCGTGTTACAGTGTAATTATACATTTAAGTAATGTGTAATAATAATTAACTATATGGTTAGGATTAGAATTAAGGTTAGTTGCATGTAATTATGCACAATTTATAATAATTATTACTATAGTAACTGCAACGTGTAACAAGGCCACTGTAAAAAAAGAAAAGTAAAAAAAGTGGTCCCCGCATTACAAATAAAAACAAGTTATAATACATTAAAAATAATTGGCTGATGAACACAGAGGATGTGATGTTAATGATGCACTACACAATGTAAAACCACCACTGTAGGTTTGGCCATGATGATAATAATGATATTAAAAAACATACAGTGATGTCATGTGCTCTTCACGCCTGCAGTATGAAATAACTAATGACTGCGCTGAAGCGACAGCAGTGAGGAGCGGCTCACTGGAGGGGGCAGTGGGACAAAGCCTGACGCACTGGCCAAAAACGCAGAAACGTCTAGAACAAAGAAGGCCCAGTTCTGCGACTCTTCAATGAGCTGTGCGGCTGAGTCAGCGCTTCTCAGTGACCTCTGAATAACTGAGTTTGACTATCAGTAACAGAAACCCCTTCATATGAGCCTCACTTCACACAGTTGGCTCAATTATTGACAGTTCAACAATCGGTATTCATAAATAAATAGCAAACTGACACTGAAATGAGGCTCTACATTTTTTTAAGCATTTATTTTTTCAATTCAATTTCGGTAACACTTTACATGAACTAACAATGAACAAACCATTTGTTACGGAATTTATTAATCTTTGTTCAAATAAAAATACAGTCGTTCATATGTTGGTTCACAGTGCATTAACTAATGTTAACAAACATTAACATTTGATTTTAATAATGTTTTAATAAATGTTGAAATGAATATTAACTCATTATTAGTTCATGTTAACTTATGTAGTTAACTAATGTTAATTAATGAACCTTGTTGTAAAGTGTTACCACAATTTCAATGCAATTTATAATATTAGTAAAAATGTCTTGCATTATAATCTAGTTTCGCACAACCATTTCCTCCCTCTCTCTGATTGTCATAAATAAACAGGCGCTTTTTGCTATACTGTATCTTTAAGACTATGCATGTAGATGACCTGTTATGATTGGCTAACCTCAGTGTGAAGAAAGCTACTGAATGCTGAATGTGAAAATGAATGTGGTTCTTGACTTTTGAGAGCTAGAGAAGTATTTCCTCCTGAGCAGTGGGAACATCACTGTACCTGGAGGGCCGGGAGGGCCCCTGCGTTCCCTGTCCCAGGAGGGAGACAGTGAGCCACTATCAGAGTGAGGGCCACTCCGCTCAAAGTCTGGCCCACCACTAGGGGGCTCTACCATGCCTCGGGATGCTGATTATGTGACAGTGAGAGTGAAGGAAGATGAATGGAGTGGAGAGACAGCACAAGCAAATATTTGAGGAAGTTAAGAATGGAAAAGGGAGGAAAGGGAGACAACCAACAAAATATTAACGAGGTAATAAAACATGAAGAGACTCGACTATATGTAAACGTGGGGAATGGTTTGTTGCCCACGGTTTAGTGTGCGTTTGGTACCGTAAAAAAATGGCACTGGTAAATCTCAGGTGTTTAATTATTATCGATGTGCAATAAATAACCCAAAGAGGCTAAAAAAAAACTTCACTTGAGCAGTTGTAAAGATGGTACTGGATATATCAATTGTGCTGATGATGAAGCAGAATTTACAGAAATAGCCACGCATCAAGCATTTACCAAACCGTGAGAAATCAGACCCGTTACCCTTAATGCAAACATGTCAACTAGATTTTATGGGAACTGAATAGGATTCATGCATGTGATACAAACAAACACACACACAACTAAGACTGAGAATGAATAAATTACAGACAGACATTTCCCAGAATTTAAAATGAAGGGTATATCACCTCTGCCTGGACCCATAACAAACTGAGGTGAGAGTCGAGGGGGGCCGTCCATTAGTGTAGGAGGGGACAGGAAGGCCCGTGTTTCTGAGGATGGTCGGCCAAGAGGAGAGGGTCCATATGGAGATCTTTCATCTTTGACATGGGGGGGATATGAATCTCACGTTTAATACCATTTTAAACATAGAGAGACATGTACTATGCACGGGAAATGCAGAGAATCTGACCTCGAAATAAAGGTCTGCCTTCTCGTATATCCTTATCAAGAATATCGACTTTAAATTGGGCATCAGTCAGCCTGTAATTGTAAACACATTCATATGTATGAATAAATGCTGCTTCTCATGTATAGAAAACACTAAAGTAAATTACTAAATTATTAGCCAATCTCACTTCTGGCGGAGATGAGCGTTTTCTCTCTTGACATCAGCCAGGTCTCGATCCGCGGCCCTTGCGGCTAGCTGGAACACAGACAGAATACAGAGAGTATCAGACACAAAATACATCTGTAAGCTTCTGACAACTGACATAGATCAAAATTAAGTGCTCTGAAACAACTTACCCAGTTATCATGAGCCTTTTTCTCGTGAGAAGTAATCTGGAAGAAAAAAGAAAAATGTACATAATAAATATTACAAAAAAACAACAACAGGAAATTATAAATTGGTCAGGTTTTGAACATTAAGATTTGTGTCTAATTTGTAGTAAAGATATTTGTATAATAAATATTTATTTATAATATTAATTATATAAAAATATTTCATATTTCTAAAGAATAATTGTATATATAAATATATATATTATATATAGTGTGTATATATATATCTAGTGTGTATGTATATATCTCGTTTTAAATGATCATATTATGCTAATATATATATATATATATATTTTTTACATATATATACACTTATTAGGGTTGTCGAGCGATTAAAATCACCTAATATGTCTGTGTAAATATATAAATCATGGACAGAGGCAGTAAATATGTAAAGAATTTTAAGTGTGTCACCTGATTCTTATAAGCCTGTGAAGTCCGGTCCAGTTCCTCCTCTAGGTCTTTGGCTCGTTGTCTATTTAAACATAGTGAGAGACTATAATGTAAACTTCCCGTTGTGGTGAACATCCATCTTGCATTATGTTTCCTGCCTTTCTCACAGCACATTTCCTTTTATTTTAACACATACTCAAACATACTTGACGCGACTTCCTCCTTCATATGTGCTGAGAAAGTTGCTCTCACCTATAAGTAAGGAGCCCCTCTGCAGCGAGACTGATCTTTTTGCCTGCCTTGTTGAGCTTCTCCTCCTTCTGCGAGCACTCCTTCTCCTCCACTGTCAACAACCTGACCAGAGTTTAAGAAATAATTTAATTATTGTCATTAGTTTTTTCATTTCCAATGAAAAAAAGACTGCAAAGTGCAAAGACATGAGTGGATTATGAGATGCAGCTTCTGTGCTCCGGTCCAAACCTGTGCAGTTTGAGTTCATTCTCCTGGTACATCTCTGTCATGATCTGGAGTTTCTGTTGGAGTTTATGGCTTTCACTAGAATAGTTGGCACTCTCTGACTTCAACACTTCCTTCTGCTCCTCAAGTTGTTTGATCCCCTCTAAGAATACAGAGAAACAAGAAAACAAGTCTAGTCTTCATTTAGAGTCTAAATGATAGTGTTTGATATAATCAGGCTAAACCAAATCAATCTATAAAAACGTGTAGGAAAGATCTGCCAACCATTTTTTGGCCTTTCCGAGAGTAAAAACTATGGAATCATATTTATCCTATGGTGTTAAACACAGTATGAGAGCTGTTAAATGGTGTGTTTTATGCGTTTCACTTGTTTTATTGTGACCCTGTATTGTACAGCACTGGCAAACATTTGTTTTCTTAAATGTGCTCTATAAATAGTTTTGAATTTGAAAGAAAATCCATGGTGATGCAAGATAAGAATACAAATTAATCGGAAACAAAATAATACGGTGCCTAAAAATCTTACCAATCAACAAAAATAAAAAAACAACAAAATAATATATCGAATTAAAAGTTTAATGCATCTTAAAACCTGTTTGAATTGTTGTGGACCCAAACGGTTTACCTTGGAGATCTTCTTTGGCTTTCATTTCATCTGCAAGTTTGGCGAACACCCTGTTTTTGTCCTCCTCCATGGACTTTAAGTCTGCACTCATCTGTGACAAAAAGAAGGACTCACTTATTTTTAGCATTTCAAATAGTATTATGGATGTAGACAGGCATTATCTATTTAATCTGATAAATAAGGGTTGCGTTTCAAAACCAAATGAGTTGCCATCCTAGACATGTTTGGCAGTCATATGTGCCATCTAGGTGGTTCACTGTGTTTGAGACAACCAGGATGTAAGTAGGAATACCTTGGCTGCTTCAATGAGTTTCTGAACTTTTTGCTTCTTATGGGACTCTGCAAGCATAACAAAATTCATGAGACTATACTTCAAGACTTGACTTAAAAACAGACTAACAATATTCCCACCTGAGCTGTCTCCATTCTCAGTTCCAGCTGTATTAGTGCTGCTCTCGTCCTCAGAATCCCAATCTCTCATCTTCAAAAGGCACTCTGTCAGGGACTGATATAAGAAAAGAAAAAGAAAAACAGAATTTTAGAAATGCAGTTTTGGGTACAGACCGATATATGAGACACCGTGTGGTTGAAAAAACGGTGAAAGAAATTTTCCGTCCTTTTTTTTCTGCCGGTGCGACTACATTTTGTTAGTGGTCGCACTGGTGCCACAACCTTATTTCCCAACTGATAAAAGCCCAACATTCAAATTTGGCCCAGAATTCTCTGCTATAAACCGTATATCGGATCAAACAGCACTGACATGGAAACCAGGAGAAACTGTGCCATAAACGAACAAGTTATAGAAGGCTTTTCAATCCACAAACATTCACCATGTATTTAAAGTAGCAATAATAACTGTAACCATGGTATTGTGGCAGAAATAGTCAAATGTTTGTTCATCTCAGGGTTCATAATACCTGTAAGTGAAATTCAAGCACATTTCAAGGACTTTCAAGTGCTTCACACTTTTTTCAGCACTTTAAATATACAATTTGAGTGTTATTTTTAATGTAATAATGATATGTAAAACTAAAAGTTTAAAGATAGGAAAACTAATACTTTGTGGCAAACAAACAAAAATACCATGAAAGATGAAATTACCATGGTATGACCAGAAGATGGTGACAGAGGAGCACTTATTGACTTTAAAAAGTGGGAAGTCACAAAGTCTCAAATTGTGACTAAACTACATAGAAAGCAGGTAAAGTGTGCTCCTCCTTTATAATTACTGAAGCTGTCAATCAGTTCAATATCATACTACAGAACAATGGTATATTTAATAGAAGAATATTTACATAGGTTTTTGTACATTACTGTTGTTAATAAAAGTCAATTTTATCTGCATCTCAATTGCAGCTCAGTGTTTTACTGTTCAATTTTCAATAAACAAACATGCAATATTAGTGAATGTACTTAATAATGCAAAACAATAGTAATTGATTTATAAATAATATAAATTAATCAAATTTATTAAGTTCATGATTAAAAATCCCCCCAGCGCCACCAAATCAGGTGCTGGCACCACCATCTGTAGAACTTAGTGGCACAGGTGTAACTGCTCTCAAATGCTAGTCTGTAGCCCTGTATCCATGACAACTGCTCTGTCTGGACGAGGAGAATCGCCAACCAAGATTTATGTTTCGCTGTGATCGTACTTGTCAAAGGTTTAAAAGAAATAAGAAATCGTTGTCATTTAGGAATAAGATTGTGTGAGTGTTTGAACCGAGATTGTGATCTTTTAACAATTAATCATGTAGCTCTATTACATAATTTCCACACACACAAAAATATATATATATCTTACTGACCTTGTTTGGGTAACTATCTGAGTGTTTAATAATAAAATAGGTTTGATTAATTCATTGATTATTCATTTTCGGTTTGGGTTTTTAGGCAAGTGCAACTTAAAATTTTGGTTTCGGTTCATTTTCATTTCGGTGCATCCCAAATAATAAATGTTTCTTGAGCAGCAAATCATCATATTAGAATGATTCCTGAAGGATCATGTGACACTGAAGACTGGAGCAATGATGCTGAATATTTAACTTTACCGTCACTGGAATAAATTATCTTAAAATATATTAAAATAGAAAACAGTAAAAACTTTCGAACCAATTTCTTTTGAAAACATTGTTAAAAAAAACTTACCAACTCCAAACTTTTGAACAGTAGTGTATATACGGTAGCGTAAGTAGCAAATGTACTTGACAAACCCATACTAGTCGACTACTATTCTGGTGTCAATGTGTTTTTACCTTGATGCGTTCGTCTTTATTAGTGCAGTCCTCCAGCATGCCAGAATGAGATCTTTCACACATTTTCATCTCCTCCTCCAGCTCACAGAGACGTTCACCCCAGCCCTCGGCTTCTTGCACCAGCTGTAGTGGTGATGATGGCCATTCATACACTCATTGTAAATGTAAGCCATGAAACGTCTTGTATAACAGTTATGTTAAAGCTTAAAAATATATCAATTTTTTCGCTCCAAATTAAACACACAAAGACAAATCTCACCTGTGCTTTACTCTCGAGCAGCATTGCATGCTCTTCTTTGGCTGCCTGCAGGTTTTTCTGTAATCTCTCTGTGTTGATCTCATGAATCTTCAGTGTTGTGTTGTCCTGCACATGAAAATACAGGTAGAATTACAAATGACTATTATTGAGGAATACGACTGAAAAATGAATCATATACATAGCCAATACCTGTTCTAACTGTGACTTTCGATCTTTAGCTTCCTCTTCTAAATTACTTAAAATCTGCTCGAGTTCAGCAAGCTGTAAAACAGATATAAAAGCCGTTTAATAGACAGATTCAGGCAACATAACGTGCATCTGTGTGTATAACCACATTACCTGATCCTCTTGTTGTTTTCTTGCTTTGTTTTGTTGGGACAGCTCTTCCTGTAGCCTCTTAATTTCCTTTTTAATCTGAGCATTTGATTGTTCAAGTTTCTTTGATGACACCTAAGAGCAATATAATTGGACAAGGGTCAAGTAACAAGTGAAGTTGTCACACGTTTCTTTTAAGTGCCTCTATTATGCTTTACATTTCATTCAGTGTGTAATAATATAAAGCGCTGCCACAATCTCTAATATATTAGATTTGAGGTTTTAAAAAAGTAATTAACACTTCCTAAAAGACAAACATTGTTAAGAAACCAATATTTAAAGGGAAAAAAAACACACATAATCATCTTTACCTCTAAGCTGTCATTTTCTGCAGCTTGCGCAGACATGCCATTGTTCTGCAGTGTGGACTCTAGTTTATCAAACTGTTGAGACAGACAGACAGACAGACAGACAACATTGTTTAGAGTAGGGGTTTTCAGTCTTTAAGATGCTACAGACCCCCAAATATAATCATTCTCATGCAAGGCATATATACAGTTTCTTGTACAAAGACCCAATGCATATTGTGGAAAATATATTTAAAATATTGTTCTAAAAATATTTTGTTGGGTCACTATCAAGTCAAATGATTATCTATTCTACCCATTATAGTACCGTACTGTTAAACTCATTATTTACTAATTTTACATTATTTTACACTGTTTTTCTCTATAGGTTTCCACAGTCCGCCTAGCATTCCCTTGCGACCCCCTGGGGGTCTCTGGACCAGAGTTTAAAATTAAGTGTATAACATGGCATTTCTCACCTTTTGTTTAACCTCACTGAATGTCTCCAAAACTTTGCATTTTTCATCAAGCAGTTCAGCCACTTTACGTGCCATTTGCTTCTCTTTACCTGCAAAAAAAAGTCAACACCCAGGATCAATTGAGAGCTGACAGTAAGGATCCGTTAAACAGATAATAAGGAGAGGTTTAAAGCAAGGAGCCAATTAGATAAAGAAATGGTAAAACACCCACTTGCATATAGTCGACTTTTCATCTGCAGAACAAAATAGAAAAAGCTCATGATTACTTGGTGAAATGATGACATTCATAAAGTATGCACGTTTTTTTGTGATTCTTGAGCAGAAATGCCTGACTTACAGAATGAATGAACCTGCAGCTGAACAGAAGCAATGTGCATAAACCTAAAAATCCTGTGAAAACCACGGCTTCCCATGGAAGTCCATATAAGTCAGGGCCAGGCCGTATATCATCCGGAAGTGAAGACACAACCTAAAAGAGAAGTTAAACAGTTATACTGATTCTCAAAAAATTAAAGTATAGAATATATACATGTATTTCCCTTCATACATGTATACAAAGTGAACACAAGCTTATAAACAGGATGTCCTATAGATAACATAACACCGCTTTCCTATGATGAGACCTTTTGGTCCTAATTGTAGTTTCGCATAAACTTTTATCACTTCTAAAAAATAATAACACAAATCGCATACCACACAAATCGACCAATTTGCAAATAAAATATTTTAGCACTTTTTACATTACTGTTACACCAACCTGACATTACAACTCATTAAATTAAAACAATTACATTTAAAATCAAATGAAAATTATATAAAGAACTCTAACAACCTACCATGTGTTTAAACTAATATATGTCTCATTTTTATCTCAGACATTCTCATTTGTCATTGACCAGCAGTAACTGACCAATGCCACTGGAAGATGTAAAAGACCAATATACACCACACAATTTAAACCATTATAAACTGGTAAATAAAGTCCACTGTTGTAGATCTGCATAACGTTACGTTTAATAAATACACGATAAAATAAGATGAAATGAGCAACGAACCAGATGCATCAATGCTAACCAGCTAACGTTATATGCCTTAATTTAGAGCAGTTTACACATTTAAAAGCCAGTATACATCTAGTAAATACTGCACTCTAGTAAATAGTGTGTACCATGATAGTTAACTTAGAAATATATGACACCTGCTGACAGCTGCCACACATACACACTAACACTGTTTCACCATTCACACACTAACACATACATCTTTGATTTTCTCCACCGCGAGTGTGTAGTAAATATTCGCTGCTCCTTTCATGTCAGTCGCTTCTGTGACGACCGACTCAGCCTTTAATTCGTCTGCCATGATTATATTAAAAAATCGAAGAGTTATTCTGTAATCTGTTAATTTATCTGTTGTTATGCCATGGTGCCGCCGGATGCTGCTCTGCTCAGCCAGAGTGCGCATATAGGAACAGCACACTCTTCATTTTTAGAGGGGGGGGATTCTGGACGCATAACAGCTCGTGTCAGTCAAATTTAAGTAGGACACTAGATATTTAGATTAGTAGAATATTTAGATTAATAGATTTTTGTCTTTTTAAAGACAAACATACGTAGTTTGTTCATATAAACAGTATTTTGCTTTTATGCGAAAAACTGTAAATTCCAGTGGGACATGGTTCCTTCCACACGTCACCAATTGCTGAATGCCACAAAGTCAAGTTCGAGTTTTAAAGTGACAGACTTACTTAGCGACACTGAGGAATTAGTCAATAAGCATTCACGAAAAAAAAAAAAATATTTGTCATGGGCTGGTTATGAAACGTCTATAGTTTTGGTTTGTGAGTAAGTATGTTTTATCAGTGGGTGTGTCAGGTAAACATAATATACCTCTATAAATAAAGGCACTGAACGAGACCGGTTGAGCAGCTCAAGTCTGTCTATATTAGACATTTATCTCAAAATGACTACTTAATTTACTTTATAGGTATTTAGTAATGTACAAGTAATAAATACTGTTAAATATCATTAACTTGGGTTGAGTGCGAAATATGACACGGTTTGGCGACTTGTCAAGAGAGAAAATAGACTGTAGTCGTCGGCAGTTTCCACGAGGTACGAAAAATATGGCATGAAATGCTTATATTATATATTTTGAACAAATAATAGCTTCAAATTATTGCTTCTCTTTATTATATGGGATAATCATGAGATAAATATATGTAGGCCTACTGTACATTTACTGTATAGGCTTAAAAACATATTTGGTGATTCTGTAATTTTCTAACAGTAAACATAAAATAATAATTTAATTGTTACATAGTCAAAAGGGATTAGTCAAAATTATCATTTTTAAAAGGTGTTTCATCTTTTTTAAACACTTAAAAACACTAGCTATATATTTCACACTAGTTTAATTTATTGATTTGCCTTTGATATGGAAAAAAAAAAATAATGTACCATTGTCTAAATAGCAGGATACTTTTCCTACACTATTTCGACCTACCTTGTCCAATATAGATGCAATTTCATTAATTGTGACTTCAACAAAAACTGCCATTTGATAAAATTTCCATTCACCTGTAAAAAAGAACAAAGTGTTTAAACATTTACTATTTAATAGGGTGAAATGTCACGCCTCAGTTCATAATTGTTTGGGAACAACTGGTGGATGAGTAAATTATGACAGTATGACAATTTTTTTTCATTTTTATTTTAGGATGATATAAAAAAAAGGTGATTACCGTTCTGTGATTCAACATGCTCCTCAGACATTAGACCATGGTTTTGGGAAGTTTTCTTGATTTCAGAAGATACCCAATCCTCACGCTTTCTTATTTCCTGCTCATCAGTCTGAACACCTTCCACATTAGCTCCGTTCCCTGAAAGGTACTTCTCCTCTGTGTCTGGCTCATTTTGAGGGTTACTCAAGTCATTTATATCAGATCTGTCTTGGGTAACTTGATTATTTTTAAGCTCTGTTGAGGAGATTAGTGTATTCTTATTCACATCTAGACATGCTTCTTGAACACAGCCATCTTCGCTGATCCCTGTGACGAAAGAGATGCAACATTATAGAAAATGACAACTTTTACATTATACCATATGCGTAAGATCAAAAAACCTAGATTTCCCATCAATCACAAATGCAAAAGTTTTTGTATCATGCAATATTCACCAAAATTATTAAATCTATTCTCTGCCATGCTATTTTTTTTTTTAAATGATCAGTTTCGAATCATCAGTACCTGGGCTTTCTACACTGACTTCTGTTATCACTGGTGAATATTTCTCTCTTAGAGTAGATAAGAGGGTATACAGTTTTTGTAGTGCTGGGTATTCATTAATATTATTCTTGCCAGGAAAATTGTTATCTTGTTGATTAAGTCCTTTTGTGTTCAACTTCATGTGGTATTCCAACTGCTGTTCAAAGTCACTGAGTTCTTTAAGATCTTTATTATCTTGGCCAGCATCAGTGTTTCCAAGTTTGGAATCCAGCCGAGATAACTTATGGTCTCCGAATAAATCTAAAAGATCTTGGATATTCTGTTCACTCAGATGAGGATATAAGTTTGTATATTTTTTAGAAGTTTCTGTAGAATGGTTGACAGTCTTTTTTTCTTGAATTTCAGGGCTTCCAGGTCGCTCTTCATCACCCTGTTCCTCTTTATCATCCGACTGCACCGCCATGTCACTATCATCACTTTGATCCCAGGTGGCACCTGTGCCACTTTCCTCCCTTTTCATGACACTTTCTGAATCAGTTTGATCACTTTCCTCCCTCTTCGTGACACTTTCTGAATCAGTTTGATCACTTTCCTCCCTCTTCGTGACACTTTCTGCAATTTGATCCTCCATATTTGCAGTGTCAGTCTCCGCTTTGTGTTCAACACTCTGATTTTGATCAAGCATATTATTTATACTGCCATCCTGAACTGGGTCATTCTCCGAGAAGATATCATCTGTTAATTTTGTTTCTTTGGAAGTGGTATAGTCACCTGGGTCTTCAGTACTAACAGTGTTGAGAATTGTATCATTGTCTGCATTTTCTGGTAAACTGAGATCATGAACACCATCTTTTGAATTAGTGGATCCATCAGATGTGTTCAGTGATGGGCTTTTTGTATGGCTTTCTTCTATCAGGGTCTCGTTTGTGATTTGTGTGTCACCCTCTAGCTCTTTTGTTTCAAAATTATTCTCTGTAGGTTCAGAAACTCTACCTAATTCATTTTGCTCTCTATTCACTACAACCTCATCTGTATATTCACCTTCCTTAGTATCCTTAACAATGCTAATTCCTGCTTTTTGTATCTCCAGTAACACATCATGTGAGTCGCTGGTATTATACATTTTATCATCTGTGGCTTTTAGGGCTGAATTTGACTGAAGGTCTGTATGTAGATTTTCTTCACTAATAACAGCTGTTTCTTCAGTTCCAAGAGTGGGAATATGAGAAGTTCCTTCATCAGAAGGCCTTATGTTTGTGTCCAGTTTATGTTTATTGCTCATTTCCGTTGCGAGAGCTTCTGAATCTGATAACTTTTCTTCGTAAAATGTGTTGTCTTTTGATAATACTTCATCTAATTGTGTCTCGTATCTGTCCATAACTAACTTGTCATTTTTGCCCATAACTAAATTTTCATTTTTGTTCGTAACTAACTCATCATTTCTGTCCATAACTAACTCGTCATGTCTGTCCATAACTAACTTGTCATTTTTGTCCATAACAAACTCGCCATTTCTGTCCATAGCTAACTTGTCATTTTTGTCCATAATTATCTTGTCATTTTTGTCCATAACTAACTCGTCATTTCTGTCCATAACTACCTTGTCATTTTTGTCCATAACTAACTCATCATTTTCGGCCATAATTAACTTATAATTTCTATCCATTACTAAATTACCATCTTCTTTTGATGTACCTTTGTCATCTTCAGCTAAACATTTTTCATTAATGTATTCTGATAATGCTTCCACAGTCAGTTTTGAATTCAAATCTGCATTTGCACTTTGACTAATTGTGACAGTCTTGATATTAGATTCTTGTGTTTTTTGATAATGAAACTCATTATGAATATCTGTCTCTGGCAATTCAGATATATCAGCACCAGCTTCAGTATCTGTGCTAATTTGATGATAATCACTTTTTTGCTGTTTGATAGTGTCTAAATTGTCTTGATCAGACAGCTTGTCTTCTGAAATGTCATCAGATAAATCAGTCAATTTGGTTTTGCTTTGAATAACATCAATTGAATTATTTGCAGATTTAACATCATCATTTTGGGTGTTGGATTTTTGAGAAAAGCCATCCGTTTCTCTAATGTCATCAGATGCAACACTGTCTTTTAAAGTCATTGTTTTGTATGATAGTGCCTGAGTTTCACTTATTAAATCAACATCGTCAACAGACATTTCTTCCTTTTCCAACTTCTGTTGCTCAAGAAAGTCCTCCTTACCTGAATCTACCTCCTTTGCTGTCTTTTCCTCATCACTTTGCATGCCTTGCTCCACCTCTCCCTCTAAAACATTAACATTGTTTGCACTTTTAGCTTCTTCATTTAAATTATCTGCTGACTTGTCTGTGCCGTCTTCTGTCATATTAGATTCTTCAGTGCTATCAAATTCAATGTTGTCTTTTGTTTTATCAGACAGTGACTGAGTTTTACTAAGTACATCATTGTCTATTGGGTTTGAGTCCTGCTCATCGATATCACTCAACATTTCTTCTTTTTGATCCTCGCTATTATTTTGTTCCTCATCAAAGTCTTCCTCACCTGAATGTTCTTCCTTTGCTGTTTTTTCCTCATCTCTCTTTACTTTTGTGTCTACCTGAAATGGAAGTTTAAGCACTGATGCCAGGCCGCTGACTGAAAATATGGACTCTGAGCTTGATTCTGACTCTTTGGTTTCCATGTTCTCAGTGCTTGTAGCAAATCCAGGGCTTCCTTCCTCAGACAAACTGTCTTTGCCTCCATCATCCTCATCTTGTTTAGTTAGTTCTTCTTTGTAAAGGTTTGTAATTCCGTTGTACATGTTTTCGTACCACCCCGTCTGTTCCTCTACTTTATCATTTTCTGATGTCATGTTCTCCATGGGACCATCCTCATTCTCCACACTTTCATCAGGGTTGTTTTCATCTCTCTGTATTTTGTCATTCAAATCCATGTTCTGACTGGGTTTAAGAATGTTTTGGTCCTCCATGTGTGTGTTTTGATCTGCCATCCCAGCTTCAGGTTTAGTTGTAGCTGGAGTATTGTCTTCACTAAAGCCCAAGACATCTCTACCCATTCTTATCCAGGAGGTAGACTCCTGAGATGAGGTGTCTTTATCATTTGCTGGGTTCTCAATTTTGTCCTGAGTGTCAGTCTTTAGATCCTTGTCTCCAAATCCAAAAGCATTGGTTAGTTCACCCCTGATCCAACCAAACGCTCCAGAGTTCGTATTTTCCTCCACGTGGTTCTCCTCGATATCCATCACTATTTTTCTGCTTTTGAAGGATTCTTCACTGCTTTCATCCTGTGGTTCATCATTGCTTTGTTCATTCCTGCCAAACCATCCATTAACAGCAGAGCCTATCCATGAAGACCCACCTTTTTCTGTTGTCTTGAGGCTGTTTTGATCAGAAACATCTTGAACAGAAATCGTTATGGGTTCACTCTCTTCTCTATCAGCAGGTTTATCATGGACTTCATTGATATCACTTTCTTGGGTTTCTTGTGTGAAATCTTCCAGATCATTAAATGCAGTGCTGTGCTCAATGACTGAACCATGTTCATCAAAGCAGATGAAGTCATATTCCTGAGGAGAGAATGTATGATTAATATTTATGTTCTTGGTAGACTCTTTTCTAACCAAATCAGCATGGAAGAATTAGTCAGATCATTTAAATGGTAAATGGTAAATGGACTGCATTTATATAGCGCCTTCATAAACCTAATGGCCACCAAAGCGCTTTACATTTTTGCCTCACATTCACCCATTCATACACTCTTTCATACACCATTTAGATTTCTTCGTCAACACACCAGCTAAGTTAATTAGCTAAGAGTCCGATAGTTCACAGAAGTATATTGTGACACGGGTGAAATTTTTTAATTTATTTCATTTTTAATTTATTTAGGATTATCAAAATCCTATTTTTGGTTCCCCAAAGAACCTTACAGTAAACAATGAATAAAATAACATTTTCTTCTTAGTTTAAAGAACATTTTAATAATCTAAAGAACCCTTTTAAGTTACACCTTATTTTACAGTACGTGTACTTGCATAAGAATGTACTGAATAATATAAGGTAAACTACATGGGTTAAGGTTAGGTTTAGGGTAGTTCAAGGTTAGTACCTAATTATTACCCAGTTATTGTATTTGCAATTAGTGCTTAGTCCTATGTAGAAACCTATGTATGAATGAATCATTCAATAACATGCATTAAGAAAATAGGGTGAATTTGCACTTCATAATGCCATTAATTATTTTTGTTTGCTGTAACTAATTGTATATGTTTGCTTGCTATTGTAATTGTATATTTGATTATATTAAATAATATTTCGGCCTAAAACCAGTTAATGTATGGTATGAAGCATATATATATATATATATATATATATATATATATAGATAGATAGATAGATAGATAGATAGATAGATAGATAGATATAGATATAAGACATATATAGATATAGATATATAAATGTACATTACCTGGGTTGGCACCCGTATTTCCTTTTTCTCATCAATAAACAGTTGATCAACCTTGATGGCATCTTTTGGGAACAATCCAGACAGCTTTTCTATCTGCAAAATGTAAGATATGAATATAATGATAATGTAATGCTTTAATTTATCAGTAAACTTAATAAGTTTAAAGAGCCATACATGCATATTTAAACCCATACATGCATATTTTTAATTCATCAACAATTTAATTAATCAAGAACAGAACCAGAAAAGGGTAGACTCACACTTCCTGCCCAGAGATCATTTCTTTTTCCAGTGAGTTTGTAGTATACAGTGATCATATCCCCTTTTTTGAGGTTTAGAAAGCGGCAGTCTTTAGCTGTATGGTCTCTCTGTGCCTGCACACGACTTATCATGCCTGAAGAAATTAGAAACTCAAAGATAAGAGAGCATGACAATAATTTGTACATGAATCACATAAGTGAAATATTTTGCACAAAGCCATATAATTATAAGATAAACAGGTAAACACACATCACAGTTTCAATTTATGGTATTTGAATATAAATGATCAACTTACTTTCACATTCGGGGTCTCCACATAATTTGTAGTCTGAAATCAGCCCCAAACCGTGGTGTAAAAAGCCAAAGGCAACATGAAACAAAATGAATGAACGCACAGCTGCCATGTTTGGATTCATCCAGCGATTCTCTTCATCTCAGTAGATCATTTCAAAATCCAAATAGTCAGAGGGAAAGCCAAGATAAATCACAGCTAAATGTCATTCCCTCTGTCTTGTCAGAGAATGAGCAAATCTATGCAGATCACATTCTGACAAGCAGAGATTGGATTATAGGTTACTGTCAGTAAATCATTAACATCAACACACGCCACATCACAAACTCTCATTGGACCAAAGCCACATTCAAACTGATAAGGTTTCACAATGTTAGAGACTACATGAAGTACAAATATTATTATTTTTTTTTACCTTGTTTGGATTTTAAGATATTATAGTGAGTAAATGCTCATTCACACCAAGGACGCTAATTGTATCACACCTAGACCTATTCAATAACAACACAGAGAAATTATATAACTGGAATCACTTTTACAAAAAAAAAAAATTCCAGCAGATGAATGATAAAAACTTTGACAGTCAGTTAGAAACTGCAGAGGATGCTTAGAATAAACAGAAAGCTATTGTGTTTTGGTGTGTAGCCTATACGCTAAATGTTATAGTTATCCTTCTTGGTGTGAACAGGCCTATAAGACTTGTAAAACAGGCACACTAACCTCATTAAATTATCAGTTCAATCATTTATGATAATAATGTTGCGACTAAAAGTGTGGTTGTCTACTCTAGAATGAATAAAGAAATTATGAATACAGAAAATATTCAGCATGAAGGTTAGTCCACATATATTTTTCATAAACAACCCCCACCGGAGAGTGATTCAAAGACACAGGTCAGAATATTTTCATTATTGTTTTAAATAAAGATAGAGTGGTCTTTCCAGTACAAGAATAAATTATTCATAGTGCATCTGGGTAACATGTCAGCCCACTCAGTTACAGTGTTGTTCGAGTAACGATTAGCCTACTGATAGGACTCGGAGTATCGGAATGAGCAAAGGTCTACAGAGTCTGAAGTTCTTCCAGCAAAACAAACCCTTCTTTAATTTATCGGTCAAGTGGGTAATATTTTCATGCTTAATTTCATTTAATTGATTCAATTTGCATATATAGCATGGGTGACAACTATGGGTTTTTAAAAAATCCCCTGAATATTATTGAAATGCCCCTGAAATTCACTTCCAGGGGGCAAATGTTGTCACTTAAAAAGCATGCATAGCATTGAAAATTCTTCATATTCTAAGTTACCTCTTTATTTCTATATCCTATATACTTATCCATTATTTTTTAAGTCCCTTCGCCTTCATATTGCTCCCAAACAACAGATGTCACTACCACAGGTCACTACACATCTTTCCATTATAGCATATCAGAGCGAGCGAATAGGTCACCACAGTAACCGTCGCGTCCATTGAGCGTCATCATCATGCACAGTGTTTTCAAAATGGAGAGGTTGACAAGCACATAGAGAGCGTGCAACAGCGATTTATGAATGCTGATTTATTTTGATCGCGCCGAGAAAATAACGCAAAGACATGAAGTCAGATGTGGAGGAGTTGATGCCCAGACTTCTGCCCGTGGAGTCCTGCGACGCAGATGAATATAATTTAAACGAACCGCCCAGAAACCCTCAAGAATATCTCAGACAGGTCCAGTAAGTCATTTTGCATCCTCTTTCTTCAATATTTTTTTCTTTTCAAAGTAGACGAAAGTAGAACCTTTTTATAAGCACCGGGTTTACTAGTATTGAATTTGAATCAAAAAACAGAAAGAAGAAAGAAAACTTACTTCACAGATACTTCTTCTGTGTTTATTTGGATTTGCAAATGGTTTATTCTTTTCATTTATTTTATTCTATTATTTTCTATTATATTTATTATTTTTATTATCATATTTGCTCTATCGGTATTGTAGAGTACTTAATATTTGTGTTTGTGTTTTAATTATGTTTCAGATGCAACTGTATGAATTACATTTTTTTTTTTTACAGTGAGCATTATATTTTTACAGGAAGGAAGCGTCTCTGTTCCCAGATGTTGTTGTGGCACAAATTGATCCAAAGAAGCTGAAGAAGAAACAATCCGTGAACGTGTCTGTGAGTGAGATGAGTTAACAGTGTATAATATGTTGTAAATCTTGTGTATTAATTTAGCATATTTTGTTCCACAGATCACAGGTTGTCTGGCCGCACCTCAAGGTTTCTCTCCTAGCTTGAAATGGCAGCAGCAAGAAGTCAGCAAATTTTCAGAAATCAGACAGGTGTTCATTTTGAACTGCATTGGGTACTTTTACTTGTACTTTTAAAATAGTATCTAGTCTAGCATCATCAATTGCTTTCTTGTTTTCAGAGTGTTAACAAGCATCGTCAGCATTGGAAAGCTCAGTTTTTGGATGATAATGTTGTCATGGTAAGACAATTAGCTAATATGTGGACTGACGTTTAAAATGAAAAAGATGTTTTAAAAAAAAAAAGCAAATACTTCTCCCCCCCCTTTAGCCCAAAACTGAAGATGAGGATGGGTGGAGGAGGTTCTGCTTGGGTGAGAATGTTTGTCTTGACATTCAGATGAAAGAAGAAGACAATGTTAACCCAGGTCTTGATTATGTCAAGGTACTAATTCCACCTTTATCAGGTTATCAACACATTTCAGCATGAATGGATAACATGAAGTAGATTTATCACACCATGAGCATTCTGTCATGATTTGATGTTTTTAAATCCCTTTTTATCAGACTGGTTTCCCTCCTTTCCTGAGCATTGTCAGCAAACTAAACCAGGTAACTGTCATTTGATAGCAGATGTGATGATTATTCACATATAAATCACATAATAATTGAATTTTTAATTATAATTTCTATTCTCTGTTCAGTCAACCATCTCTGCGGTGCTTGAGTATTTAATCATTTGGTTTGAGGAGAGAGACTTTGTACCACAGTTGGTGAGTTCAATTGCTCCAGTTTGTCATATCCAAATGCATCAGGACCTGTCTTTAATATTGTTCGTTTGAGATAAGTTTAATGGATTTTCTGTCTTTAAAGTCACCATGAAACAGAAGTTGTGATAGTCTTTCCTTTCCTATTCTGACATAGTTGTGGACAGTAAAGTATTTGTACTTTTTTACTGTTCATAAGTACATTTTTCAAGTATCTGTGGTTTACTATTATAGTATTTTTAATTTGATAAACTTTTACTTCACTACATTCCACAGCATAATACCATACTTTTACTGCACTACATTACATTAAAACATATCGCTACTCATTATTTTGAACTTAAGAAACCGTCAGGTGCTCCGAGACGCAATAGCAGTGTCCGATTCGTGAACGAGCTGATTCTTTTCAATGAACCTGTTAAATCGGTTCGCTAATCGCACCAAAATATCCATTTACAAATTGGACTGTTCCCGAGTAAACAACTCACTGATTCAACAACACCAATATTTCCACTTGCATTCTTCCCCGCCATTTCAAATGAAATTAAAACTAGTATGTTTGCATAGCATTCATTTTAAAATGTTATGAATTTAGCCCTATATGATGTCTGTCTTTATTATTTGTCAAAACACAATACATATTATGTATCTGCATCCACAAATCTTTCTTACTGACTAGTGCTGGCAATTGACAATTCATAATCATGTTTAACCCAGCATTCCCCCTCCCCCAGGTATTTTGAGCAATAGGATTACAGAAAATATATAATATACAATTCATGTAAAAGTATATGAAATCACAAAATAAACATTCATTGATCAGTGCTTTTTACTTTGAATACTTAAGTACATAAAACTTTATTCAATCAAGTACTTTGTGATTTGTGTACTTTGTCCTCCACTGCATATATCTGAGTTGGCTTCTTGAACAAGAAAAAAATGTTGGGCGGGACTCAATTTTGTCCTTCAGAAATCAATTGGATTGTTGTGGTTTTCTATTGGTTGGTCTCAGGTGAGTGACAGGTAGCCCTAGCCCCCAGTGAACATGTCATCAGACAAGAGTGGAAGTTATTTTAATTAAAGATCACATGTGCAGGAATTTAAAAGTAATGATGTGTACAAATAAATGATTTACAATAAATACTGCAATGTTCCATAAAACACAGGAATTTTGATTTCATGATGACTATATTACAACACCATGTTTTCCTTTGAAATTTAAAGGTATTAGACCCTATTTGCTCACTAACGTTTATATTCACAGGGCAGATGGCTATATGCATTACTAGCGTGCCTTGAGAAGCCGCTGCTTCCCGAAGCACATTCCCTTATCAGAGAGTTGGCAAGACGCTGCTCAACAGTTCGTGCCAATCTGGTAAACACCTTTTGGTTTGCCCTGAGTTAAAAGCTGAAGTATCACTATTTTCTCCCTTGCTTCCGTTGCAGTTGCGCAAGTGAAGGCTTGTTTGTTGACAGCCTAAAAAATATGCTGTCTAAAATAGACTGAATATTTTTCTCTTCCAGGAGAGCAAAGACGATGATCGTTTGTCAGCTCTTAACTTGATGATTTGTATTGTTGCCAGGTAACTATAACCAGATTTAGGGTTCCCTGAAATGTGTGCAGGTGTTCTTATGAAGTATAATCACAATTCCCTCTGTTAAAGGTATTTTGAGCAAAATGATTTGGCTGACAAAGACTGAGCAAGAGATGGAAGAGCCTTTGCAGAGAAAATTCATGTGAATTGGAGCAACTATGAGAGATAATTTGGAGATTTTGTAGAATAAAGGGACTATTTTGCCAAATTTCTTTTAATTCTGTGTAATATTAAAGTACACCTGTTACAAATACAAATTACTGTCATTTTGAATCATTGGTATTGTCAAATAAAAGTACATTTTTACATAAAAAACAAACACATATTTGGCTTCTTGGCATTTCTTTGTCATGGTGTTGTTGTCCAAAACCATGCAAAGAACTAACAAATAATCCAATTTTTATTGAAAATTTAATGAAAATGAAAGAAATTTCCTTTGCAAAAAAAAAAAATATGACAATTTCAGTCAAAATTGTTAAGTGGCTAATATATATATATATATATATATATATATATTTTATAGAGCTATTTTATATAGCTATATATATATATATATATATATAGCTCTATCAAAAAGTGTAAGACACTTTAAGAATGGTTCTGTTATTTGATTTATTTTTGGATGTTACTATTGACTTTGAATTCAGTTCAATTTTCTCACACATGTAATTAGCATTTATTTAATATGAGTGAAAATAAATAAAAAGATAACTAAATATCACAGAAATTATACGCAAGATCATGAGAGATTTCTTAAGAAACGACTTGGTCAAAATTAATAATAAAGAAACAAAAGAATATATGGTTCATTTATGGGGTTTCTTGCATATTTGGAATATTTTCCATGATTGAAAAATCTAGGGACCTTTGTCACTGTTATCAACCATATTTGAAAATCTGAGATAATGTTGCAATGAAGGGTAAAATATCTATTGGAGAAACATTTGTATACCGTTAAAGTCTGACACTGATAATTAATTTTAGTCTCAATGATTCTGTCAATCACATTATTGGTTCTTGCGCGCCACCTGTGTGTGAGGTTTCGATGTGCAGGAACGCCCATGTGATCATGTGATCAGCGTTGCTCGCCTTCATTGAGGCAAGCGCGCGCACGACGCTCCACGCGCAGCCAGCTGCTGGAAAACGAAGAGCAAGATGGCGGTGGCTGTTCGAAGTTTGCAAGACCAGCTGGAAAAAGCCAAGGAAAGCTTAAAGAGCGTGGACGAAAATATTCGAAAACTTACCGGCAGAGATCCGGGTGAACTGAGGTATTACTTGATGAAAGCGTTTTAATTAGTAACGTTTCTTTGGTGGAAAATAAGCCAGGGCCTGTTAGCAAGCTAAGACTGCGGCTAGCGCACAAGCTAAAGTATCACATGTGTTAAATTTCAGCGATTAAATCATCGACATATTACACTGATCAGTCTTTATTTTGTTTGTGCAGTGATCTCTCAGAGCTATCTAAATCACCCATGCCTCAAAATAAGTACGCTGGAGAGAAAGTATCATGTCTGTTTGCAAGCACAATAGTACGCAGTATAAAATAGATTATGAATAATGAAGGCTGGTAGTAAAACTATAGCGTTAGTAACGTGGTATTTAGATTAAAATTGAGTTTTTCTTCAAAGATTGGTCCTTAGACTCAACTGCTGGCAATTGAAATTAGTAACTTAAAGGTTATACATTAGTCCTGCAAGGACTTCCTACTTATTGTTTAAACGGCAGGTGATGCATATTTATGGCTTTTCATCCAAATCTTTGGAGACCCAATACATACAGTTTTGTAATTTGTTTTCCTACAAAAGTAACAATGGCTTCTAGATGCTGTAACCCTGTTTATTTCTGATTGAACTGTATGTTTGGACTGGACATGGGAGGTGTTGACCTTATAATATCCGATAGGTTTTATTGTTTTCGGTCAGACTTAAACGTGATTTGCTAACATTAACGTTACTTTTCCAGACCGGGTCAAAATAGGAGGCTGACCATCTCAGGCCCAGGTGGAGGTAGGGGGCGTGGAATCAATTTGCTGAGGTAAGAATCTGTTCTTTTCTAGGTAACTGCTTGTAATTAGGGGTGTCCCGGTTCAGTTGTATAACTGTTCATCTGTTATAGGACAACTTTGTTTGAATAAACAAGCAGACATTAGCTTCATTAAACATTTGATTAGCTTCTCGCTCTACGTTTAATTAAAATTAACAGCACGACAACTAGATGTGAATGTGCTTTCCATTAAATAAATCACACACACAGTAAACAACCTTCAACAACAACAACAAACAAAAAAACTTCAGTCTCACAGTTATATAATAACCGTCACACCCCTACTTGTAATAAGTACATTTTGGACTTGTCCTTGATTTCTGTCAAACCCCTCTCAGGCGTGGACTCTCAGATAGCGGTGTAGGACCCCCAGCCAAACAGAGGGACATCGAAGGGGCACTCTTGAGGTGAGATCTTTTGCCAATTACCTGATTTCTGGATATGTTATTATGAATGAAGTTCATGTTTGCACTTGCAGGTTTCCAAAATGTATTTACAAATTGTCTTGTCAAACTAGGCTGGCAGGGGATCAGCGAGCCAGGAGAGATTCACGCCATGACAGCGACGCTGAGGATGATGACGATGTCAAAAAAGTATGCAGACCACATTTGTCCCACCACCCCATGTAGATTTGTCCCCTTATTGAATCATGTTTTTATTTTCTATCAATAGCCAGCGTTGCAGTCATCTGTGGTTGCTACCTCCAAAGAACGTACGCGCCGAGATCTTATTCAAGATCAGACCATGGACGAAAGAGGAAAGCAGAGGTACTGCTTTTGTTTTGGGCAATGTCTGCAAAGCTTTCGTCATTTATTTTCTTGTTTTTCCACTGCAATTTTTCTTAAAATAATTAAATAATGATTATTTTATCTCATTCAGAAACCGGCGCATGTTTGGCCTTTTGATGGGAACGTTACAGAAGTTTAAACAGGAGTCTACTGTGTCCACAGACCGGGTAGACATGCTTTGAATTTTGTACTAGGCCTTTTATCTCATATATAAGTGTGTATATATATATATATATATATATATATATATATATATATATAAACTCTGTCCTTGAGAGCCTCTGTTTTTGAAGAGTTTAGCTCCAACCTTAACTCACCTGCCTGTAGCTTTTTAGTAATCCTGAAGACATTGGTTAACTGATTCAGGTGTGTTTGATTATGGTTGGAGCAAAACTCAGCAGGGCAGTGACCGTCCAGGACCAAGTTCAACGGGTCCTTCAAAGCTAAATTTTTTCTAACCCTTTTTTGTGTTCGGTTCACGCTGATAGTCTGCGATTTGCATACACGTTAAGTCAAACTGCCTCTGAAAAGAAGCGCTGCTTTAATTTTAGAACTTGTTTTTTCCCCCTCCAGTTAAAAAGACGCCAAGAAATTGAGCAGAAATTGGAAGTGCAAGCAGAACAGGAGCGTAAAAAAGTTGAGGGTGAAAGGAAAGAGCTCTTTGAAGAAAGACGTGCCAAACAAACAGAGCTGCGACTTCTGGAGCACAAAGTGGAGCTCGCTCAACTGGTATGCGTCTCAGCTGCAGGGCTCTTTTATTGTGTGCTTGCAATTTTTTTTTGGATAGACTGTCCTTGGTCTGACATTTCCATGCATGTATTGTGGTCTCATCTAATTCCAGCAAGAAGAATGGAATGCACATAATACTAAGCTCATCAAGTTCATTCGCACGAAGACCAAGCCCCCGATCTTCTACCTGCCTGGGCGAATGTGCTCCGCTACTCAAAAGCTCCTGGAGGAGTCTCAGAAAAAATTAAATGGTAAGCGTGTCTTGATTACTTATTTTTTGTTTCTCCATTTTCACAGCTTATATTTTAGGTCCTGTTTACTCCTGGTATATTTACATTTTACCTGATATTTGAATTGCACCAAGACCAAACATTTAAGTAGCTTTAAAGTATTTATGAAATGAAAATCTGAAATGATTCAAAGTGTGTTTTCAACAGTATTTTTCACTGATTGAACATGGAAGTGTACTGCAACATGCAGACATAGTCTTCATATGGGATTATTAGTTTCCAATAGTCTTTCAAATGAACTAATGAAGCTAAAAAGGTGTTCTTAGAGAAATAATTCTGCCGCATATCTTTTTCCCTGACTTAAAATAGACGTTAATTTAAAAAAAAAAATGTATTGTCAAATTTCCAGGTGTGTTTGATGAGAGACGTGAAGCCTTTGCAGAGCAACTTAACAAAATGGAGGCTCGGCCAAGGCGTCAGTCCCAGAAGACAGGTGACAGAGAAATGGAGGATAGCCGTCGGGCTGAAGAGACGAAGAAAGAAGATCCAGAGGAGGGTAAGGCTGGAGTAGGGCGGACAGGTAACAGGCATGATGTGGAGATTGAGGATGAGGAAGATGATTTAGTGGAGGTGGATGCAGAGATTAGAGAGAGGGAGGGGGAGCAAGAGCAGGCAGAGGAAAAGGATAAACATGAGGAGAGTGAGAGGAAAGCAGAGGAGGAAGATGATGATGAGGAGGAGGATGATGATGTGGGAGCGGTTGAGGTTAAGAAAGATGAGGAAGAGCAGATGGAGGTCACAGAAGTTGTGAGGGAGGCTGAGAAGCAGAGTAAGTTGCAGGTAGAGAGTCCAGAAGCTATAGTTGAAGAGGTAGGTAATGGTAGAAGGGAGGAAGAGCAGGAGACCGAGAATGAGACTCGGCAGGACGTCGTGACGGACTCTCAGCAAACCCCCGAAAGCCACATGGAAACACAGCCTGAGGAGTGTAAAGAGCCTCAACTGGATGACCCAACTCCTTCCGTGACCCAAAATGACACCAAACAAGATGACACTGCGCCTGAGACCCAACAGCCACAGCTTGAACCTGACCCAGAAGTCTTGTCTCAAGAGCAAAGCCAAGAACCATCAGTCCAACCGCAAGGAGCCAAAGCGGACGTGAAGGAAGCTGGCGAGGAGGCCGACGACGCTCGCGGACGGGCCAAAGTCCGAGAAAAGAAGAGTAAGAGCCGAAGTAGCAGCAGTTCTTCTTCCAGTTCCTCTTCAAGCTCCTCCAGTGGATCCAGCTCTTCTTCTAGTGGCTCCAGCAGCAGTTCCTCTGGCTCATCCTCGTCGTCTTCCAGTTCACGCTCCCGCAGCCGTGGCAGGGATAGAGACGGCCGAGACCACAAACGCCGCCGGAGACCGTCGGACAGGGAGCGCAGGAAGAGCGGCAGCGAGAGGGGACACAAGTCCTCCAAAGGCAGTGGACGGGAAAGCAAGGGGTCTAAAGACAAGAACTCCAAACCTGACAGGAAGAGAATAAGTTCAGAAGGAAGAAGGTCTTCCAGAAGTGAGAGGGATCGGAAGTCTGATCGAAAGGAGCGACGTTAGGAAAACGATGCTTCCAGTTTTGCGTAATTTCTTCAAGGCTGTCATGTGGTTACCATAGTTTTTAAGGTGCAGTTGCCTTATCATTTTTCTTGAGTGGGTTTTACATTTGAAGTCTCCATCTCTCCAATGTTTTTTTTTTTCCCCTTCTAGTTTTGTCAACTGGTTATTTCGGTGTATCTCAGAATTCTTAAGATTTATAAACTCTGCTTTTACGAGCCATCACTTTAAATGTATTGGTTTCATGCTATATCAGACTTTTCACATTATCTGACAAAAACAATGCTTGAAATATGCTTCTCGTGCTGATCCACCACGGTGTTGCCAGTTCCTGTTATATAGTAGTCACTGATGTTTTCAGTTATGTGATGCCATAACGCAATTTCTTTTTAAAAAGAAAAACATTCAATGAATATGAAGCATCCATTCTGACAGTATCTTAAAGTGATTAGGTTATTTCTTGTTGTAGCAAAATTGTCTCTTTTTTTTGTATAAATCATTCATTAACATGGGGAAAAACATTAAAGATAATTTCTCTTTATGATGCTGTTCCTGGTTTGTTTGCACGTTTATTTACATAATTTTTGCATCACTTGAGAGTGTGTTTGCAGTGACATTACTATCAGTAGTATGACTGGTAAAACTGAAACATGCCTTTTTTTTTAAATTGAACATTAGAATGAACAATTTTAGCCTAAAATATTTATGCTGTTATTTTATTGAACATTAGATTTAAAGCTACACTGTGTAACTCTTTTAGTTTATTCTTAGCTAAAAACACTTAGTTCTTTCATAAATATGTGCTCATTTATGTATATTTACTTTGTTCAAGTAATAAAGTATTCTCGTGAGTGTATAATATGCCATTGAAAATACATACGGGTAAGGGGTTCTAATGTCGGTCGCCATGTTGCCCCTCCATTTTGAAAGTACATTAGCCAAAGAGGGACATACCTGTTAATTCAAGCTTCGCCTTTCGCGTTTACGTTTGAGTTAACACTCATGGACGAGGTCGAACTGGAAGCCATGTTAATCTTGGACTACATTGGACACCGTAGGAGTTAAAACAAAATCGGAAATTGAGAGGAACAGAAACTAATATATAGTGCATAGTCATATACCTTTTCACTGCTAGATATGGGTAAAAATCACACAGTATAGCTTTAACAATTTTAGCCTAACAGATTAAGATTAATTTTTTTAAAAAAAATTAAAGAGAAATGCGCATCTTTTCCAGTCAGCTTCCTTATAGTAGTTGCTCTTTTGTTTGCAGCTGTTATTGAGCAACTGGCCAAATGTTGTCACCTTATCAATAGTTATGTTTACCAGAATAAGAAAACATCTTAAAAAGCTTGGCTGACCCATAGAGAAAAATGCATAAAATCTAAACAGAGAATAAATTGGGGATTAAATGGATTCATGTTTATATACATGCATACATAATTATGTGATAAAACCATGTCATGAGATAAGGTTGTACTTGATTAGAGCTGAACTAGTAAAATGCAGCCATAATAAAATATTTAATAGTAATATGTTCTTTTCCCCACCTCATGGTGGCAGTAGTGCTTTGCAAAGCTTCATAAGAACATGCTGTATTTCCCCAGGTCTTCTGCCAGGTTTTTGTCCGCTGAATGAGTATCAGGTTATTTCCACATAGTTACACACAACATCAATGCAACCGTGCAAAAAATTCCCTCCTCAAACTTGGCAATATTGAAATAGATCTAAATTATGTACGTTCACCTGCCATTTGCAAGAAAATGCTTTCTTTGGCCAATCAGATAATTAGCTCTAGAACAAAATAATAAATAATCGTATTCAACATTAAAATAGTGTGCTTGGTTTACATCTGACAACTATGCCACACACAAAATGGTGGCCGCAAGATGGAAATAAAACTGAAGGCCTATGGTCTGTAGGCCTATGAAATATTCTGTCTCCATCTTAAAGACTGCATGGAATCAAAACTGGCAGTATTCACTTTCTTTAGAGGTAATGGATAGTCTAATGTTATATTTTCATGAAAACGGTATACGCCTATACACATTAGTTCACTAAAGTAAAATGGTTTGACGAATGCCAATTTACGTTGACTTAAAGTTATGTGCTCCCCTCTAGTGGTGGTCATTACTTCTCATAGTATTCCAATGTAACCCTCCATGCCCCCTACGATTGTTCCCGCTCGGTGAAAGTGAACAGTCAGCTGTTCTAGGCCTCATTAGCGATGTCTGTCTCTGATGAAGCCCTTCTATTGATCCGTCTCCAGAGGAAAAAGTGCTGGGTAAACAGGACAGAGTTACAGCTCAGAGGGGACCGGCTCGGCCTCGACGCACACAGAGGTGATGCAGGGGAGAGAACAAAAACTTTATCATGCTGTCTACATCTTGTTTAAACCTAGGCCTACACATCTAAAGTGTGGTACAGTCATTGCTTTCTGCGAAATGTCTAAGAAATGCAGTAACAATTCCAGCTAAACCTTTGCAGTACGTCGGACGTAGGCCTACGAATCAAAATATATTGGAAGTTAAATTGCCAATTTTTAAAATTGGATATGAAGTAGGCTACACAATTTGATATTGAAAGAGGGCTACAGTTTCTTTCTACAGTTTAGCCTATAGTAATGTAGGCTACTAGTTACTCATCTTTTTTTTTTTGGAAAATGTTATGAAAGTTCATTACGATCAAAGGTGTGTGTGTGTGAACCCTTTTCCAAATTACCTGTTTCCCACATACATTTTTGTTGTTAAAAACCATCTATGTTGGGGTTTTAACATTTTTATGCTAAGAAACCCCAAATATGATGATCCCCCATCCATAAATGTTTAATGTAAAACATTTAAAAACAAATGTCCATTTTCTCTGACACCCTGAGTCAGTGGCGTAGGTTTGATTTTTTAAATTGGTGGGGACGGGGACATCAATATTAAGTTTTGGTTGAAATTATTGCTAGGGATACCAGTGTCACTGAATAGAGTGCCGAAGTCATGACGTCACTGTAGGACAACTCAGAAGCTTACGGCGCATGGGTTCCCTCGGTTGAAAAGCAATGCCTTTTCTCCATAGACTTTTGGAAAATCGCTCAAAATAAGATCTGTGATAATCTTTACAAGTTAATCCAAAATGTATACATTTTGAAGCCTATAAAACCACAAGCAGGTTATAACTGTGTTCTGTCATAGATCAAAACGTGAAAATATTTAGAGATTTTGTTCACCACAGACCTTATTTCAGGCGATTTTAGCAAAAACCCATTCAAAAATCCCATAGACTTTAGAGCGAGGGATCCGGTAGTGCTAAAATGCTAACTCACTTCCACGTTTTGGCCTACAGAACTTCACGTCCCTACTAAATTCTACTCCCCCTGAGACATAAAAACTGCTTTATATCTGTTAAACCTTTAGTTTGGTATTTTACACTTAAAGCCCTGTTTAAGATAGTTTCTGATTAAATAGAACGGTTAAGATTTTGACAAATGCTGCTGTCCCGAGAATTTTAGGTTTCTGTGTTAGCACCTCCTATGTGCACTGGAACAATCATTCATAAAACGCATTAAACTTTAGTTTATAAAGACGTGAAACTCACCGAGTTTAATTTTAACTAATCAATCAGCACCCATGCCGTAAGTGCAGGATTTGACGCGCATACTAAAAAAATGTGCGGCTGGCTTGACAATGTATTTTCAATGCGCGGCCCACTTGACCGCAGTGAGTGGTCTGGGGTGTTCACTGATATGTTCACACAAAAATCGCTGCAAAAGATGCTTTCCAACAGGTTTTATCGTAGTTTTTGTCCGACTCCATTGACTTGACTTGGTACAAAAACTACACTAAAACCTGTTGGAAAGCATTTTGCAGCGATTTTTGTGTGAGCGTATTCTCGGGACAGCAGCATTTGTCCAAATTTGAATCTTAGCCGTTCTATTTCATCATGCAGAAACGATCTAAAAACAGGGCTTTAAGTGTAAAATACAGAACTAACCCTTTAAAATAAACGAAGAATACAATTGCGTCATATACAAAAAAAACATGTACGACCGAGTGGTCAATGGTGACACCCTTTAGGAGTCCCCAGACCGCAGTTTGAAGTTTTCAAGAAGTTCAAGACCTTTTAAAGGAAATACTCTATACAGAAAAAAAGGGTTCTTCATAAGAAATGGATTCTTTGCAGAACTATAGGAACTATAGAACCTTTATTTTTAAGAAATGTCTAACACCAGATGTTGCACTATTGTCAAGAGTAGAGATCAGAACACGGGACAAGAATATGGGATTATAAACACTAAATGATTCGTTAGTTGAATAGGACATGAATGAATGATTTTCTTCCACACTTTGTCTGTGGGTGATCGTGCATAGCTTTCTGTCAGTGGTCAGTGTTTTTTCTCAGCGGTCATGTGAGAACAGTTTGATTTTTAGATCAATAGCAAGATTCCTTCCCCCAAGCTTCAAAGGCAGAATGATTGAGCACAGCTCAATGAAACCAGGGTCTTTTAATTAGCGGGTGTGGGAGTTCCTAATAAATGGCTTAACTGACTTGTTCACTGACACTAAAGTGCGTGTCACTTAGGCTAGTTTAACAGTTTGTTCTTTCGGAAGCTGAGTTGTGAGGCTCATAGGCGACCGGAACAGACTCTAGTCTCCGGAGTGCATCTGTTCGTGACTCTAGTTGTAATGTAGAAATTAAACTGACATTGGTGTTAAGTTTGCTTTGGTGAGCTCGGTCAACTGGTGAGTTTCAACTAGACGTCTGCTGCTTCATTGATCAAGGCTACATTTCACTCATCATGTCAACATCCTTTCTGCAAATTGTTCACAAAGAAAAATATGAAAGCTTTTCTACATTCTTTACATGCTTTTATAAACTTGACTCAGAAAAAAAAAACATTAATACTGTGTATCTTGTGACAAAACAATGGCAATGTAATTTTTTTTTTTTTAAAGAAAATCCAACATGACATCAGTCTGAGAAAATCAGTGCAAGCTGTTTTCAGTGAAGACCGCTCAAACATGAAACATGAAGACCGCTCAAACTGTGAAACCGGGGGGATACTGTTCTATATTTGTTTTCTGTCCTTCTTAAAACAATCCAACTGACAACTTTTCAAACTATGAAGTAGTAATATGAGACATTAAACTGACTGGAGAGGCTTTCAGTTTACCAGGATGGTTGGTAAACTTAGGATCCTAAGGATAAATGTCCGTTGGTTTTTGCATAATTTGTTTTTAGTTTATAAACGCAAAATGCAATTTCTGACTGTACGACTCAGAGAAATTGCTTTTTATCTGTTACAAATAAATACAGAAACATTGTGCATGTGTAACCGAGTGGTTAAGGCATTGGACCTAGGATCCAGTAGACAAACACCTGTTGGATAATGCATACTAATTTTGTATTATTGCAGAATACGATGTAGGGCACTTAAACCAGTCAGGGTGGCCTGGGGGGTTAAGGCTTTGGACGTGAGATTATGCATACTTTTGCATTAATGCAAAATATAATTCCTGGCTTCATGCGTGAGTGAAAGCAGTTTATGTCTGACAA